AAAAAGAACACTCTTAGAAATAGGAAATGGAAGAGTGCGCTCAATGATAAAGCAGCTCAGCATTGGACATTCCACCCTGAATAACCATCGCTCCTCAGTGAATCCAGACTGTCAATCTAATCTGAGTGAACATTATAAGACACATTAGTCTGTGGAGCACTTCATATTCCACTGAAATGGGGAACTACACTGTCTAGTGGGCTGTATTTTACTGGAATTGAACGTAAAGAAACATAATACAGTTTGATAAAACTAGCTGATGAATGTAAAGGATTCGGCAAAGTCATTAATGTGAAAATCCTGAAATAATTTCAAAAATACAAGAGAGACACCATATGATTCTACAGAAATCTCTGTTGCATAACGTTTTTGTAATAAAGTTAAAAACATAAACAAAATTAAAAGAAGAGTTCTACTGTTGAAAACTGCCAGCAACAAAAAGCCAGATAAGTAGCAAATACTGAAATATTACAAGTATCAATAATTAGAGATAAAAAGAAAAAGAGAACAATCTAGCATGATAGAAGTGCTTAAAGGATAAAAAGAAAGAACACAGTGCTATAAGCATATCTGTTTTAACCCAGGCATGATCATGCATGCATGCATAGATTTGTGCAAGTAGCAGGTCTCAGGATTTAGGCAAAGTAATTGTAAACATGTACAGTTCATCAGTGAAAATGATAAACTTGAACCTGCCATATATCTCTGATGAATTGTGTCCCTGTGACCTAAGTTCAGAGATGCCATTATTTTCAGTTGCAACACCAGCAGGCCCATAGCTTTTGCCAAAGGGGGGGGGGGGGTCAGTTTCAAGGAGGGTCAAATTTCATAATTTGGACCCAAAGTCACTTGAAAAGTGCTCAAAATGGGAAAAACTGCATGAGTTTTAGAGAATTTTGGCAGAATTATTATAACTACACATGTAAATTGAACAAGTTCAATTTAAGACTCCAGATTTCAAACTTTTTTTAAGCTAAGTCATCCAAAATACTGTAAGCTGTAAGCTGAGCCATTCAGAATAAGCTGAGTCATCTAGAATATAGACATTTAGACAACTCTTAAGTAAGTTATCTTCGTCTCCATTGGCTTAACATGGGGATATCATAATATCGACTTTTCGAGACTTCAAACAGCTATAACTATCTAACCAGAATTTGGGTCGAAATCAGGTTTGCAGATTCGAATTTCTGAGAAAATTCTACGTTTGTGTCATAACTCATACATTAAATTTTGAGAACTTTTTGTGTTGACCTTCTTTCCGGACGCCATTCCTCAAATTCGGTAAGAGTAATAAAAAAAGACAGTTACAATAATGAAAGGACTGTCTTTAAGCTACATGATGAAAAAAAGATAAAGGAATAACGACGAATAGTGACAAAGATAATTGACATAACATGGGATATCAAAATACCAATTTTTTATTTTTCAAAACGCCATTACTTCCAAACCGGGTGTCTGATTGAAATTTGATTTGCAGATTCGGATTCCTGAGAAAATTCTACCCTTAATTCATAACTCATACGTCAAATTTGGAGAAACGTTCATGTTGACCCACATTTCGGACACTATATCTCAAAAGTGGGTCAAAATACTTTCTGACGGCAAAAGGCTAACACTATTAGCACACTCTTTGCTACCTGTATACAAAATTTTGAAGCAAATAATTAAAGTGTAGTGTCAGAATTGCGAAAATAAGTTAAAACTACAAATTTGACCTAGATTTTGACCAAGGCATTTTGGTGTCCAAATTGTGAAGCTAGCTAGCTTTTGAGGTCCCTTTCTTTTATAGGCTTCCATTATGTAAAGCTGTACTCAGTCTATATCTCATATTTTACACTAATATTTTTTCCCATTGCCATAACATGGGGCACCAAATTTAGCGATTTTTGAGCTTTCAAAACGACATAACTTCCGAACCATAAGTTGGATTGAAATTTGGATTGCAGATTTGGATTCCTGAGAAAATTCTACCCTTAATTCATAACTCATACGTTGAATTTGGAGAACTTTTTATTTTGACCTACTTTTCGGACACCATATCTCAAAAGTGGGTCAAAATACTTTCTGACGGCAAAAGGCTAACACTATTAACACACTATTTGCTACCTGTCTACAAAATTTGGAAGCAAATCATTAAAGTGTAGTGTCAGAATCGCAAAAATAAGTTAAAACTAACAATTTGACCTAGATTTTGACCTAGGCATTTTGGTGTCCAAATTTTAAAGCTAGATAGCTTTTGAGGTCCCCTTCGTTTATAGGCTTTCATTATCTTAAGCTGTATTCAGTCTATATTTAGTATTTTACACTTTAAAAAAATCTTTTTTCCCATTGACTTAACATGGAGCACCAAATTTAGCGTTTTTTAGCTTTCAAAATGCCATTACTTCCGAACAGGAAGTCGGATCGAAATTTGGTTTGCAGATTTGGATTCCTGGAAAAATTCTACATCTTTTTCATAGCTCACACATTCAATTTGGAGGATGTTTAGTCGTGACCTACATTTCGGACGCCATATCTCAAAATTGGTAAGAGTAATCAAAATTCTGATGTCATATCTTTGATTCGCCTTTTTCTAAGCTACACAATGAAAAAAAGATGAAGGAGTTACGAAGAATATTGGCGAAGATATGATGAAGAATGTTGAAAATGTAAGATTTGACCTAGTTCTTGACCTTTGACCTAGATAAAAATTTGACCTAATTTCCGAGAAAGCCGGGTACAGTCTTTAGTTAACCATGTAAGTTGGATTAAGTAAGCTGTTATAGTTGACGAGAAATTTGGTGAGGAGGAAGAAAAAAGAATAATAATAATAACTAGATTTTGGAAATTGAACGAGTTCAATTTCAGACTCCAGATCTAGACTTTTTTTTATCCGAGTCATCCAGAATAAGCCAAGTCATCCAAAATGAACTAAGTCATCAAGAAAAAGAAGGATGGATGGATGGATGGATGAAAAAGGAAGGAAGGATAGGATAGAATAGGAAGGAACGATAGGATAGAATAGGAAAGAAGGATAGAATAGAATAGGAAGAAGGGATAGAATAGGAAGGAGAGGAAACGAAGCAAGGGTAGATAGGAAGGATAGGAAAGGATCAGAAAGGAAGGATGGATGCATTTTTCAATATTTTCTTCTCTACTCTTGACTTTCTATCAGGATACCATCAGATCGATTTTTCTTGAAATTTCAAAACGCCATAACTTCCGAACCGGAAGTCGGATCGAAATTTGATTTGTAGATTCAGATTCCTGACAAAAATTTCCCCCTAATTCATAACTCATACGTTAAATTTGGCGAATTTTTATTTTGACCTACTTTTCGGACACGCCATAACTTCGGAACCGGAAGTCTGATTGAAATTTGGTTTGCAGATTCGGATTTCTGAGAAAATTCTACTCTCAATTCATAACTCAAACGTTAAATTTGGAGAACTTTTTATTTTGACCTACTTTTCAGACACCATATCTCAAAAGTGGGTCAAAATACTTTCTGACGGCAAAAGGCTAACGCTATTAGCACACTCTTGGCTACATGTATACACAATTTCGAGGAATATAATTGAAGTGTAGTGTCAGAATCGCAAAAATAAGGATAAACTATGAATTTGACCTAGATTTTGACCTAGGGATTTTTGTGTCCAAATTTTGAAGTTAGGTAGCCTTGGAGGTTCCCTTCTTTCATAGGCTTTCATTATTTTAAGCTGTACTTAGTCTATATCTCGTATTTTACACTTCAAAAATTTTTTTGTTCCCATTGACATAACATGGGGCACTAAATTTAGCGATTTTTGAGCTTTCAAAATGTTATAACTTCCGAACCGGAAGTCGGATCGAAATTTGGTTTGCAGATTCGGATTCCTGAGAAAATTCTATACTTAATTCATAACTCAAATGTTAAATTTGGAGAACTTTATATTTTGACCTACTTTTCGGACACCATATCTCAAAAGTGGGGCAAAATACTTTCTGACGGCAAAAGGCTAACACTATAAGCACACTCTTGGCTACATGCATACAAAATTTCAAGGAATATAATTAAAGTGTAGTGTCAGAATCGCAAAAATAAGGATAAACTATGAATTTGACCTAGATTTTGACCTAGGGATTTTTGTGTCCAAATTTTGAAGTTAGGTAGCCTTCGAAGTTCCCTTCTTTTATAGGCTTTCATTATATTTAGCTGAACTCAGTCTATATTTCGTATTTTTCACTTCAAAAAAATCTTTTTCCCCATTGACTTAACATGGGCACCAAATTTAGCGATTTTTGAGCTTTCAAAACGCCATAACTTCCGAACCGGAAGTCTGATTCGAATTTGGTTTTCAGATTCGGAATCCTGATAAAATTTCCTATAAGACCAATATCCTGGACATTTGATTCGAAGAACTTTTTTTTGGACCTCGTTTTCGGACACTGATATCTCGAAATCTGTTTGAGATATCAAAAAACTAAATCGACCCTAGGTTTTCTACTTTTTTATAAGGAACACAATGAAAAAAAACCGGATCGAAAATATTGAAGGATGACCGAGAAAATCGAAAAAAGTGACAAAGTACTGGATTTGACCTAGTTCTTGACCTTTGACCTAGATAAAAATTTGACCCAATTTCCGAGGAACTAGATTCTGGACCTAAATTGTCCAAATGACTGACTTTACTGAAAACCTTATGGTTATTGAGAAAACTGGTTTAGAATAATAAAAAGAATAATAAGAATAAGAAAACTGACGAAAACAATAGACTCCAGATTTCATCTGGAGTCTAATAAGAAAACAGGCAAAAACAATAGACTCCAGATTTTCAATCTGGAGTCTAATTACTGAATTAACCAATGCACATAATTTTTAAGAAGAGGATATGAGTAGATAGACAGATGTTGAGTTATGCTGGAAAAATAACACATACTTGTATTTTTCAGATTCAAAGACATAAAGGAAGAAAATCTCTAATCGTAGAGGTCTCAGGACCATTTTGCAGGTAAAAAGAATGGCTCTTTCAACATATCTCGTTGGAATGGGAGTTGCCATTGGGAGCATAGCAGTCTACTACAATCTCCCTAAATCTAAACCAGTTCTTGCAACAATAGATTATCTTGCAAAGGGAAAGATCTACAATATGGATGGTGACAAAGAAATATTGGTGAGTTTTGTTCTCTGCTCTAGTGTCATCAAGGTCTCATCCACTTCATTATAAGGTTATAAACACGGGGTGATTAATACCCAGAGGGGGGGGGTCACTGTATATAATACACAATAAGGTCCCCCACTAAATGTTTTGTCATATCTTGTTTGATGTCCTTGATTATTAAGAAATAAAGGCACCAGTTACAGGGCTGTCAACTTGGGACCACCTAATATGAGTGACTTACAAATGTTGGACACCGAAGTCCAAATCTGAACACTTTTGTCCAAAATTACGAAAATTACGAGGTACGAAAATTTGCAATGAACATGCGTGACATATACGGGATTCGCGTGACAAATCCGAACAAATTGCGTTCGTTTTTTTCCGACGTTCGTATTTTTACAGTATCATAAACATATTTTGAAAATTTTTTTACAGACACATATTTGCGTGACAATTACCAGGTAAAATGCGTATTTGCGTGACATTTTGTGTCACGCAAAAAAAACTGGCGTGACTTCAAATTCTTCAGCAAATGCGTGACAAATACGCAAATTGCGGGACAGTTGACAGGCCTGCAGTTAAGGTGTAACAAAGTCATTTTACTGTACTAAAGGTGGAATCAAGGATGTTGATATGGAGTTGAAGGTAAAATTTGGCACACTTTTCCAATATTTCGCTTTTGATAATGCTATGATTTTAAGCTTATATGACAATTATTCAATTCTCTCTGAATTTGGACATTTCTAGATTTTAAACCTACAAATAACTTTCATGTCGGATCATATATCTTAATAATTTGACTTTAGGATTGAAATTAATGGAAACATTACCATGCATCTTATAAAAAGTTCTTCAAAAAGTTTGCTGTGTCCTTTGCTGCCACATTAATACACTTTGATATGCACTCATTTAATTTGATATACTTCATACAAGTCAATAAAATATACTACCTCTTTGTTGATTTTCAAAAGTATCCTTTGTCCATATGTGTGTGCTTCTTTACTGACTTGAGTTTTATTTAAGATAATACTTCTTTATAATGTTTGGAATCTCATTCTAGAAGGAATTTTAAGAATGGTGTTGATATTGTTTGATGTTGACTTTATACTTACAATAAAACCTCTTATAGTAAGTGGAATGCCCCTATTTAAGTGGAACACTTTTGTTAGTAGAACACTTTTCAGATCCTTGACCCACTGAATTGTTAATTGGAATACACAGGTACTGGTGTATTTTAAATCATAATATTTTATCATACTAGACTATACGTGTCTAAAGATACTTCCTGGTTATTTCTGTCATGAAAGTTGATGTTTTTTCTCATTAAACTTAGTTACAGAACTACTATTAAATGGTAAATAAATATTCTTAGAACCTAGTACAGGTACTTCTACTTCCTGGTTATTTCTACCATGAAAGTTGATGTTGTTCTCATTTTAAAGGGAGAATCAGATCTAGCGAGCAAGCCAAACAAAAAAGCATTTCTAATTTAGAATATTTTTGGCTCATTTCATTCGTTGTCATGTCTATTTTCTGAAACTCTCATAAGTCCATACTTTATTTCTTGAATTTTTACAATAATGTATTATTTTTCTATAATTATGGTTTCCATCTTTTAATCATTTCCACATACTGTATTCTTGCACTTTGAATCCTTAATAACTTCACCAATTTATGATATATGACATATCTTTTGCGAGATATTGTATTTGAAATTGTAAGGAATACTAGATTGGTAGGTCAATTGTATATGTCACTAACTTGCTCGCAACTTTGTCACCCACTATAGATCCAATTCTGCCTTTACCTTAAGTTATTTCTGTCTAGTTATATGTCAAGGACTATAAATTACAATAAAATTACTATTAATGGTAAACAAATATTTTGAGAACCTTTCAATGACTGACCATGTCCTCACATTGTTTTAGGCTAGCACACTGTGGAAAGATGGCGGGGCAGTCATTATGGCAGTAAGGAGACCAGGATGATCCATGTGCAGGGAGGTTTGTAAATAATATAACTTTTACGAGGTCAAGTATTTGTCACAGTATTGTAAATATAATACTTGCCATGTACTAGAACTACTAGAACTTTGTAATCCTCCAAAACATAATCGTACTAACAGAAATACATAGTTGTAAAAAGGATGACATTTGGTCAATTTTCCTTGATATATATTTAGACAAAAAAATTGGTTCATCAACAGTTTCAGTATCTCCCGTTGTCATGTAATATGCTACTGCTACATTCAGTTTCATCTATTGTCCATGATTAAGAATACAGTATACATTATGCATAGTTTTAAATAATGCATAAACTAACTAGATTAGAAATATTGTTAAAAGTGATTATAACTGTACATGTTTATTTTCTTGAAACATGTTCTAGGTGGCCAATGGGCTTGTATGTGCTTCTTTTGAAAATTTCTGCTCCAGGAAGCCAGAGAAACTGTTATATATATGATTATTCTCTTAAGACATGTTCCAGGTGGCCAATAGGCTTGTAAATGTATACGCTTGTGTTCCAGGAGGCCAAAAGGCCTGTACATGTATGTTTATATTCTTAAATATCTTGTTCTAGGAGGCCACAAGGCTTTCCTCCTTGAAGCCTGATCTTGATGCTCTAGGTGTCCGGCTAGCAGCTGTTGTACACGAGAGGACAGGGGTCTCGGGCTTTAAACCCTACTTTGCAGGGGACATATATTGGGACAAAAAAGTGAGTAATCAACTTATTAATGAAAACCCTTTATTGTGTATCATATTACACAAGAGTTTGCAGCACAGTAGTACAAACATTGCCTCTAAAAAAATTTTAAAAATATTTTTGTGAATGTCTGTAACAATATCCTAAACAGTGAACTTGATGGTGTATTTCATACCTACACAAACTCCAAATGTAGTAGTAGTATAAGGTATAATGCACGGGTAAGATACTGTATATCATAAATTCAAATTCCTAGTGTTGTACCTTACTGTTACAGCGCGTAATAAGGTATTCTTCATTTGGATTTTGTGCAGGTTTAACTATGAAATTCACTATCAATCTCACTGTCTAGGATGTTGTTACAGACATTAACATATAGAAATATCTAGAAACTAGACCACATCTTTCTGAAACGATGAAAACATCTGTTTGTTCACATTTCATTACCCTTGTGTTGTACCATACTCCACGTGTTCAACTGTCACACTTAGTTTGGTACACACCTTGTGCCATTGCTATAAATGAAATACATGACTTATACATGTATATATAGGAATTTATTCTACAAGCAAAATAATCAATTGTTATTAGTTTACATTGTAGTATACCTGTTAATGAATTCTGATTTTCAGCGCCATTTTTATGGTCCACATGAAAGGTGGGCATCAATTGGTGATCTGTTAAGACTAGATGTAATATCCAGAGGTATTGATATGTACAAAAAAGGAGTTGATGGGAACTTAAAAGGAGAAGGTCGATTACTTGGAGGTTGGTAACAATTTGTGACATTACTACAGCAATAGCAATGTTATATGTATGTATAAGTAACATGTTTTAGAATTTGAATGTTTATATTATGATTAATATTTAATTGAAGTATGTGTATATTGTGAGTTGTTATAATTAGAAAATATTTTAAATCTTTAATATGATATTTTCATGATCATAATTTATTTCAGGGTGCTATGTGATTGGTCCAGGTGACCAAGGTATTCTGTATCAGCACCAGGAAAACTCATTTGGCGACACATCAAATACGACTGAAGTTCTCGAGGCAGTAAAGAAGATAACATCAAAATTATAGAGAATAATTCAGATATTATAATTGTTTAATATTCAGACATTCTGTATATGATTTTCATAATTCCATTTGTGTTGGACATTGGGAGAAACTTTAAAGTTTGTGTGATTTGTTTGCCAAAGACTTGTGATAATTACTAGTCAACGAATGAACAAAAGTGATCTCTGATTTTAAGTGTTCACTGGTTTATTATTACACACAGTTTATTACTGAATTCCTTCTCAGGATTTTTTACAAAAATCTAATTGTAAGCTAATTATGAACTGTTATTCCAAAGTCGTGCATTTTGTTAATTGGAATTTATTATATACTGGTACAACAATATTGTCATGATTGCTCAACAACATATGTATTTTAACATGTGTATTATTATTCAGTTTCCTTTGTTGGGATGCTTGCTATGGCTACACGTGATGTTTTTAGACATTGCTTATGAAGGTGTGGTTTTAAATTATAATTATGAACATCACTGGATGCTTTAATGTGTTCCTACAGTCACATGATTCCATAGCAATGTTCCAACAAAGGTACTATCTGACTATAAGAATGACACATTAACATATAATTTTTATATACAAAAGTATGATTAAAAATAAAAACAATTTGAATTTGATAAATATTGTTCAATTTGATATAGCCAGTACCCTTAGTACACACAGTCACACCCTGCCCTGCTTAGTATTGCAGCTTTGTAATTGTAACGTTAGTAAGACCTAACTTTTCCTCATCAGTTTTCGTTCAAACTAATATTGAAACCGTGTTTTATCATTTGAACTAGGGTTTACATGTACTTCATCCTCACATGTTCATAAATCGTCATCATCAACTTTTACTTCACTTACAAATGAAAATTGAATATCAAGATAAAATTCATAGAGCAAACCAGACACTCTGAGCAAACGAACACTGGTAGCTCCACCTTTATAAGTGACTAGAAATATTTGATTCTTTTGGGTAGCCCTGTATGAATGTGCTTTGTCAACAATTTTTGTTGAGATTCAAAATAATTAAGATGGGCTTATGTTTAGAAATCAGGTTTCATTGTAAACCTCCCACCGCCACCTTACTACTTTACTATCTTTCTAAAAGTTGTGTTTACTCCCCCCCCAAAAAAAAAACCCCATCTAGTTCTAGAGAGACAAGTCTTCAAAAAGGTTTATTTACAAGCACCAGTTACAAATCTTGAAAGTTTAGCATTTGTCTAAAAGAGGCATTCCCACAATACATCCAGAATATATTGTACTGTGTAAAAAAGTCCCAACATATTTTTCAATTACCATGTAAAATCGTTTCATTAGACTTGAAACTTCAAATTCTAGTTCTCAACATGAAACACTGAAGCTAGTCTTGCCTCAAGACTATGTGCCCCCTTGTGATGGGAAGGTGAAATACATGGGGGTGGGTGTAACACATACACTGAAGGTAAACGTGTATTGAACTGGTATCGATATTATCATGCTGGGTTCTCCTAAACTACTTTGGTTTGACCCCTGATTTCTTCGTTTTGATATGTTCATGTGAATCGTCAGAACCAACACTGCCATATTCTGACTTGTCCTTCATTTCAACCAACCGCTCCTTGTCATCCACTGGCTCGGGTGTGTCAAATAACCAGCGGATGAATCTGATAGGCAGGTTTGTGATCCACTTGACTAACTTTCCAAGACCAGTGAGACATGGTGAGCAGCATGGGGATAGGCACATCACTATAACACAAAAACAAAGATATAAACTTTACATATTGAGCAGCCCGGGACACAAAAACAAGAATATAAACTTTACATGTTGAGCAGCCCGAGACACAAAAACAAGGATATAAACTTTACATGTTGAGCAGCCCGGGGACATAAAAACAAGGATATAAACTTTACATGTTGAGCAGCATGGGGAAAATCGGTTTCCAGTCAGCGTCCCAACATGAAAAGTCATGCTGCGACCTGTTTTGAATATTACAGAAATTGATGCAACTTCCTGCAAATTGAGCTAGAAGCTTCTAATATAAAGCTCTTCTACCTAATGGTTCTATTTTGATTCGTTATGGGGCAGTTATGATTTGACGAGTGTTCAACTCTATGTCATTCCGTGATATTACAGTTTTTAAGATAAGTATTTTAGGTACACAGAAACTGGAAGTATTTAACCTAATTACCTAAAAAACACAAAAGTGAAAAATGGACTTTTCGAATAGCAATAAAAAATAAATAAAAAACTTTTACAGTGATACTCATACTCATATATGGTGACATACTCACGGGGAAGAATGACAATCCACACGGCTATTGTCACGATAATCAGTGCCAGAATTATAGGAGTCAAGAGAATCAGTAATAGCACCTTTAAAAAGTTGACACATGTGCAACAAGAACAGCACGCACAGCAGCATGGCCGTTCTTCATTGTTTTCTATTACCTTGTCCCCCTTCAGGTCTCCATTCGTAACTTGTTCTGTCAAAGTGGAGAAATAATACTTAATAAGTTATGTATATAGCAAACACAAACCTAACCATTATTTTGTGAAATTACACGTTGTTTGGTGATGTTACACATTTAGGGTCGGTGGTATTAGTCTAATAGTCGTCTGGGTTTGCTATGGTCATTTACATCAAGATGTATTACATATGGACATTTGACATTACCAAGCGTCGCCTACAGAACTTTTTACAGAGCAAACTATTGAGCTTATATCATATATAAACTTTGAAAGCCAATAGCTCCAGCTCTAGCAACTGTCTGGAAGAATAATTAGCATGCATTGTGTTTCCTGAAAATATATTTTCATAGAGGTTATGTTAAGGTTTTTAAATGTATGTTCAAGAGGGCCACTTCCCGGGGGCATTGTAAGATGTCAAGCAAAACATAATTGAATTGCGAATATAAAGGCAAATCAAAGGAAACCTATTTTCATGGGAATAGTTCGGAATTAGTATGAGAATAATGACATTTAAGAACGATTGTTGAATTTATCATATATTCTAGAACAATGCTGCGTTCCCATGCTGGCAATTTCTACAGACTTCTAATATGGGGATATATGATGCATTCCATTTGCAATTTTATCGATAAAATATATATCTAGGACCCTAATGTACATCTTGCAACAGGTTGAATATGTTTTATCTATTTATTATTCATTTCATTTATGATAAACTATTCATACGTATCTACACAAACGGCAGCATTCGAGAAAGCAAAAAGAGAAACACTTAAACACAAATCAATGAATGTGAATCACTAAACACCAATATGTCAATTCAGTCAAATGAGTTTCTAAAAACAGAAGACAAAAAGATCAGTATGCGTTCATCAAATGAATTGCATAATTATGTTGTCCAAGCAAAATAAGTGCTTTGATGTACTTACTTTCTGGATCGTCTGGTCGAGCTCCATCACTTTCCACCATTATTGCATCGTTTGGAATTCACATAAGAATGTAATATATAGTACTCGTTTGCAATTTCTACCAACTATATCATTTGATGTAATTCCCAACAGGTTGGCCTTTGTTCTTTACCTTGAATGAGAAAAATATGTCCATATTTTACTGTAGTTGATGATATCATTATGGAACATGTTGGTTGCCTACAGTATTTGATGATATTTTGCTGTGTTTCTTATATCTGCGTTTTAGCTATAATTCAACTTGTGCTAATTCCACTATTTCCCAGACGTAAAATGACCAAAGTCCCAAAGCTTTCATTTTATTTCACTATTCAAATAATTTCAAAATGAACTTACCGTTACCACATAGATATGCCTTGATAAATATATGCTTCAAATAACTGGTCAAATATCATAATTGTCAGCAACCATTAATATTGGACCATCGTGTTGTTGCCGAACCAGCATTAATATCGTTTAATGAAATTTTCCGAGCAGATGATTGTGCTATTAACAATAATGTGAATATGAAGTTCAACTCAGTCGCAATATCTTCAACTATATGTAATATCAAATTGTTCTGTCTGACTAAATAATCGCATCCTGTTATTGTATACATGTAGTTGCTATACTTTTGACCTACGTACAGTTGCAATATTCACTGCAAAAAGTATTTTTTTACCTGCCCTGATAGACGATATAGTGTATTCCATTAAGAATAACTTATAATGCAAGGATGTGGCTTGTACAAGTAATTCACGCATTATTATTAATATAAATTCAAAAATGTTCAAAATCATGCAGTTTTTCACCATTCTGAGCACTTTTTAAGTGATTTTTGGCCATTTTTGGATACCCCCCTGGAATTTTACAAAAAGTGACCCCCCTTGGAAAATCCTGGCTATTCAAGTTTAAGAGAACTTTGGAATACCTTGCCATGTTATTTCCCACCGAATTACTGGCCACCTGATGGCGAAACTGGTAACTACCTACTCGCATCTGAGTAATTTATACAGCCGAAAGTGGACGTACAATGATGGGCCCCAAATGATATGTGATGATGCAGGGTCAACTACAAGGCATCATATTAAATTCCATTTCAGTTTTCATTGTTTGGGATAAAACCAATTAGATTGTTTTGGGGATAAATTATTTTTCACTCGTCTTCTTTTGCGGAACTGACACTAGGTTATGGATACTTAATTATGAGAGATATTTTTTTATATTCGCATGTGTTTTCTGGATAAATTACAATTAATAGCCTGAATCTTGCAAAGATGGCAGTGTCGAAAAAGAAATATAATTATTTGCTTATTCAACAAGACAACAGAAAAACATTAAACCAACAAGATTGGGAAAAGAAAATAGTATACATCAGGATTTGTGACGATTTGTGATTTATTATTGTAAGCGCCATTTGCACTATCGGATTAAGTTGCGTAGAGTAATCGGATTATAACAAAAGAACTTCTCGGATTACGATTTCTTGTCATTTATACTTCGAGTTAATCTCTTAGTTACTAAATCATTGAACATTGGACTCCACACACACAAATATCGTGTCCGTTCATGATTCAGTGAAAAATCTTAAACTTAAACTGAAAATATCAGTGAAGAGATGTGTACAGGAATTAGCTTAGGAACACTTTATAACATCAATGACGCTAACACAGATAAGAAAGGCTCAAACAGTGTTTAACTAATACAAATGAAGGAGATAGCGCTTGAACTTGATAAGGAATAAATGAGTTTGCCTTGACGGTCAGCAGAACTTGAATAGCCTACTTTTAAATCTACAGGCAGATTCTCGCAATTGGTATATGTGACGGATACATGGATAAAAAACAATAGCATCGAAATCAGATATGTCACAGATGAGTTTTGAACCGATCAGCGATGGCGTCCGGGATAGGATCGTCAACGCCCAGGAGTACCTTTCAGTAAAACATGCGCTACCAAAGACTAAGATACCGCATGCCCTACTGCACGAGAATCACAGCCAGGATAGACATCTAAGTATTAAACTAGATGAGCTGGAAAGACGCAAGAAAAGGCGAGAGGAGGTATATGAACAATCGGAGAAATCGTTCATGGATAGTGTGTTGAAGAAACAACGACAGTGGAAAAAAGACGACGAGATGAGACTTGGCGGAATGAACCTCCCGACTGTGTACCAGGAAGGGACAGAATCGAGACCGTCCAGTATGCAAGTTATGTATACCACCCCAAGGTACGCCTTACAGGACGATGCGCTAAAGGCTAATGATAATGTACTTCCTTATATGACAATTCGGCAGGAAAGGTCTGAAATCATCCAACACGGAGATAACACATTTGTCACAAAATTGCCCACCATTGCGGAAATCGACTTAGAAAAGCTCCAGAGACATTCAGATTATTGCGGCACAGCTATTCTTCACTCGGGTAAGGCAGTGTCAGATCCGAGATTTAAAAGACTAACAGCCTGTTTAACAATCCCATATAATCCTAAATCTGAAGAAACAGGTGAAAACATTTCAGATGCAACAGACAATGGAGCAGCAAAAGATGCTTCTGAAAGGAGTGTTGATATTAAAACGGTTTCACAAGAACCAAGAGTACAGTCTCACTACTCTCGACGGTCAGTGCGGTCCTCTAGGGATGGCAGGAGTTACCAGCCTGGGAAGATATTAACAATCCCAGTGAATTCCCCTAGTCATAAACATTCCAAGTCTGGATCAATATTCCCTTCTGTTTTGGCAAGGGCTAATACGACACACAGCAGATCTAAGCCACACTCTCGCGAGGGTGATACCCTCAAGTTACCCGAAACATTAACTATGCGAAAGGAAAAAACCGACAGTGAACTCTTGTTTCGAAAATCTAAATCTCAGGTGAAAAAGAGCAGTCAAATTCTCCAAGATTTAAAAACTCAAAATTTACGGACACTAGCCCAAAACTATGGACTTTTATCACGGAGTTATGGAAACCTAAAAAGGTTTCGAAGTCGGGAAAGTGTCCGCACAAATAGGACAGACACTGCTCCGTGTGCCCAATACAAAGTACCAGCGGCTACCATCAAAATGTTTTATAAATGAATAATTATATGCATTGCAATAAAGATGGGTACATAAGTATTAATTCTTTGAATCATGCTCAGTCTAGATATATTGGAGTAACCCCGGGGAGTAACACAGCATACGACTTAGATCGCTTGGTCATGTGCTGGTACCAAACATCGCTGGTCACTATCAAGCGAAGGCAACGACCGTATATTTCATCAAATTAAACTACTTTATAGTTAACGTAATGCTTTGAACTTATATCAGGCACATATGACATGGAAACTCTGGGGAATATGATAATTTGTTCATATACCATGTATCGTATCATCGTATCATACATTTCCAGGCAGTTAGTTTATTACCTTATTAAGCAGTGTAAGATATCGTTCAACTTTGGCGATTCGATGAAAACTAAAAATATCGAAATCGACAATTACCGTCCGCCATCTTAGATGCGAAGGTTACGGCCGTTACCTTCGCTTGATACTGACCAGTAATACATAGTTGTATACTCATGCGTGATAATGCAATTAGTATCAGAATGGCTTTGGATAGATCGTGAAGACTGTGTTGAGTAAGAAAAAATGTGACATATTATAAAAAAAAGCCTCACCCAAGTAATATCAACTCGGGACATATTACATATTACAAGTGTACAATTAATTCTAGTGTACTAGATTTAGTTAATTCTGTACTAGATTGTCGATTCATCACAAAAGAGCTTTGTAAAATCAACATTATACAAATCATTGATGTTATGGACGGTTTGCTCGACCTTAAAAGCTAAACAATATAAACAAATTTTGAAACAAAAATAGATAGCGTCACATTGAATTTTGAGAATAGGTAAATAAAATTGTAATATTTTGCACTGGTCAAATCATGCAGAGTAGTATAATACAGGGTTACTCTAAATTGTAGAAATATGAATTTCATATGATAAATTCATACCGCAAGGTTTACAACTTTCAATTTCTGACTTAAGCTTGATTTTTTATGAAAAATAAATAACCCCTTTTTGACATTCTATCAATTTCATTTGTTCCATATATCATTGACAGGACCAGGATCACAACGGTCACAGTGAAAGTAATACTGAACTTACTTGCTGAAATAGTTATTTTATGCTTCTAAAAAGGACGAGTGTCTTTAAGGCCCTATATTAGCCCCCAAGATATGTACAGAATTGTCATGTTTGATAATCAATCAGATCCAAAAATTAGGTCATTCTGACCTTTATATTTCAAAATATAGGTCATTCTATTAACATGGTTAAAATGACATTTTCAAGGAAAATCACTTTTTTCACATCATTATTGTCACTTTTTCTATTATCAAAATAATCATTATTTTAAGTCATTTAAGACTTTTTAATTGTTCCTCATGGTATTATCTTACATAATAGAGACAAAGCATAATGGGCATTCGAAAACATATAAAATATAACAAGTCAAAATGAAAACAAAATATTGAATAGTGATTAGTGATCTTCGTTATACTTCATTGAGATCAATATTGTCTACAAAAAAGTTTGCAAAACTATATCAGAAAAGAATATTGAGCTTTTTTGATTCACATCACAATGAGAAAGAACAAGGGGCAGCATTAAAAAACACATGAAGTAATTAACAAGTCGAAAATGCATATCAATCAAGTATATATTGATCTGTTTCCTTGATTACTTCACATCACAGTGAGGAAGCACAAAGAGCAACATTTGAAAACACATATAAAATATAACAATTTCTAAAAGGTTACTTTGGACTTTACATAACTGTTGATGAGCACATTTATGTGTTTGTTCATTATAATAAGAGATTCTATGAGCCATCATCATCTTCTTCAGATGACAACATTTCAGCCATATCTTTTGATTTTAAAATGTCAAACTTTGTGCATTTCTTTTTGCGTTTATACCCCTTGTGCCTACAACCCTACTCCCAACTGGGAATGTACAACACCACGAGATATACCAGTTATTTACGGATATAGGGTGTATCCCTCGGGAGATATTTATATCTTCCCTTGGTCCCTTCGGTCACTCGGGAGATATAAATATATCCCTCAGGGTATACCCTATATCCAAAACCTCCCAGTAACCCTTATATATGCCGTTGTCAGGTGAAAACAAAATTTGTTCGACTTCAAATGGGCAACCATTTTTACGTAACCGTTAGCGTGGCCGAGCGGTCTAAGGCGCTGGTTTAAGGCACCAGTCTCTTCGGAGGCGTGGGTTCGAATCCCACCGCTGACATATTTTGTTATATATGTTACCAGCCAGCATTAAGAGGCCGGGGGTTTAATTCAGCGGTTAATTCCCTGAAATCCCCTTTTACTATCCTATATACATACATTACATATTTTTTATTTTTGCATTGTTCATCAGGCCTTGTAGTTTGATAGTTAGTTACTCCATTGCATGAGAAGGGAAGAGGCCGGGGATTTAATTAAGCAGTATCACGGTGTTATAGCATGACGGTTACGACACCTCTGAAAAAGAGATTAGACGACTACGATCACTGATTTATCCAATAAAATGGCCGCGATGGAACAGAAAACTAAGGTTGGTGCAGTATTTTCTTCTACTGTGTATCAATGAAAGGATGAACGATTTTTGTAGACATCGCATTCGGTGATGCATTTAGTAATGTATATTTTGAGCGCATGCTTTGCAAATTGATGCCCGGGGATAACATGAAATAAGCGAAAAACTGTTGAGTTTGAAATTCAAAACGACCCAAAATTTAGTAGTTTGTTTATTTTTGTCGTTAGGGCATGGTCTACATTGCCTAACGACCTCGGGGTATATAGATGTAACCTACATACGATCATAAAAAGCCAATTGAGCATTGGAAACCACCTAATATTAATCTACTTAAGGCATAATATTGTATTTTTAATTTGCGGTTACGCCAAAAATTGATTGACGGTTACGCGAACCTCGTTCAAATATGTATCCCAGATTCGATGTTGATCGATGTTCAGTTCACCTCTTGGAGAGAAAACATCTGGAATGATACCCGACGGGATCCTAGACAACGTAACAAATTGAGAACATTTAGATTGTTTAAAAACGACTGTAATTGTGAACCATATCTGAAGTCGAGTCTGTCTATCATGGACCGGAGAGCGTTTGCTTCACTACGATGTGGTGTAGCCCCAATTAGGATCGAGACGGGAAGATATGAACGTTTGCCTCTTGAGGAGAGACGATGTGTTATGTGCAACGATGGAATAGAGGATGAATACCATGTATTGATGACGTGTAATGCTTATAATTGTGTGACTTGAGTTGCTTGAGAAAGTAACAAGTATAATATGCAATTTTCAGGCATTAGACTCTGACATTCAATTTTTAAAACTCATGAGTGATTCACGCATCTACCTACCCGTTGCCAGAGCCTGTGGTCGGATGTTAAAATTAAGAGAATGTGCTATTTTTAGATAATTTTACAGACTTTTAATTAATGACTATTGCTATTTATTGCATTTTTACATGCCAGTGTCTTATAGGTCGATGACGGCCTGGGTTATTGTTGTTTTATGGATTTTTAGCGTATTTATTAACCATGACACTTAAATATAATAATATAATAATAATTGTTTTTAATTTTGTCATATTCATCAGTACTAGCTAGATGCTAATTCTTCTTTTGCCTCTTCATTGCTATCTTTTTGACTTAAATTGATTTCATTAATAAAGCAAGACACAATTTTTTCCATACCCTACAGAGGCTCAAACAAGAGCGTCTCTTGCGAGTCCTGAAAACAAATATAAGCAATTCAATATTCCATTTCTTACCCATTATAACAATGACATGGAAAGAGGCTATCAGAACTAGCAACCTTAACTTGAAAGATGTACATGCACGTAACTGTCCGCTAAATATATAATGTACATCTAATACAATACGTCACCGTCCATAGAATTCATACGTAGTCGTCTAACGACATTGCGTTTGAAACCTTATTATTTACAATATGACCACGTTCCTGTTCTGGATTTGTCATTTTATGGCTTGTTTATACACGGTTTACTTACTGTTAATAGTTTGAGTGGCTCTGAGGCACATATACTGAGAAATCGAGAATGGACTAAAAAATATGAACTTGGACATCTCAGTCGGTAAGTTTACAGCTTATATTCCACAACTAGTAAACCACCTAGCAGATTTGACCCAGTCTTTATAACCATCCATATATACGCCACCGAAATAGTTAAAAAGGAAATCTTATCTGTGAATCTTGCCTACAGGCGAGAAAGAGGACATGCTGTCTTTTCCATCCGCCATTTTTTGTTATCGTTACCGCAAAATTTTGCAAATCGCCTTGTCGTAGCCGTCATGCTATAACACCGTGAGTATATTCCCTGAAATCCCCTTTTACTTTAATCCTATCTATGTTTCCTAAGTGACATCCATACATTCAAGTAGATTTCATGTTAAAGGATTGGGTGAAATACATATTTAAGTGAAACCCACCAGAATGTACAGCCTCAGGAAATGGGTTGGGTGGGAGGGTAACTTATTTTTCAATCATTTCCCAATTTCATGATATTTCATCCAAATTTCATGATATGTAAACTATTATCCATTCCATTCGCTAATGACTACCTCCCTCGAATTCCCTATTTAGAATAAACATTCACTCTACTCAATAATATAGATGTCACTTAGGAAATCTATGTTTCCTAAGTGACATCCATACATTCAAGTAGATTTCATGTTAAAGGATTGGGTGAAATACACATTTAATTTTACCCTTTACGGTGTATTTACATCCTGAATAATGTGATTTGTTAATTGTTACTACTCCCAATCCTCAATCTCTAGGCCATCAAAGCCTTTTATTTAGCCCCTTGCTCGGGCATTATATCTCTAGGCCCTCAAAGCCTTTTATTTTAGCCCCTTGCTCGGGCATGTAAATAAAAATATGCTTACCACTGCTGAATGTACGTCTGGCCACTTCGAATTCCCTATTAAGAATAAACATTCACTCTACTCAATAATATAGATGTCACTTAGGAAATATACTATAACCCTCCATATTTTTTTTAGCACATGGCGAGCTATTGCAATCACTCACGTGTCCGTCTGTCTGTCAACAATTTGCAAGTTTTAAAACCTCTGTCAATAGGATTCCCGTTTTAAGTTATTTTTGTTCAACATCAATATAGAAAACTCCCATATGACTCCGAATTCAAAAGCTCGCATATATTCAAAATGGCCTCCATTTATGTCTCGCGAAATTCACTTTTGGACCATCTGCTTTAAAACCTGTGTCGATGGGATTCTCGTATTAAGTTATTTATGTTCAACATCAATACAGAAAACTCCCTTATGACTCCTGGTTCAAAAGCTCGCCTATTTTCAAAATGGTCGCCATTTTTGTCTCGCGAATTTCACTTTGGCCCATTTCCTAGCTTTAAAAATAATTTCAGGTGTCCTGCATTGTAAAAAGTCATGTCACTGTAAAGAGTAGTTGTACGAAATAATTTTGTTACAGAAGATCGGCAAAACATTTTGTCCGTTTATTTTATTTTTAACATTGATTTGTCCATCTATCTCGCGAAATCCACTTTTGGACAATTTGCCTTAAAACCTCTGTGATAGGATTCCCGTTTTAAGTTATTTTTGTTTAACATCAATACAGAAAACTCCCATACGACTCCTGGTTCAAAAGCTAGCCTATTTCAAAATGGTCACAGTTTTTGTCTTACGAAATTCACTTGTGGCCCATTTTCCTAGGTTTACAAATAATTTCAGGTGTTCTGCATTGTAAAAAGCTATGTCACTGTAAAGAGTAGTTACCGGTATATGAAATATCCGTATTTGAGGCAATATTTTTTGTTCATTCAGTATCATTGTGATTTGATTACTAGAAATCGTCTTGGGTCAGTACAGAATAATATGCGTTCAATTTTTAATTTGTTTTATTATTGTCTGTTAGACTTTAATATGTAATATTCACAGAATCTATTAAATTAAAGGACTATTCATCTCCATTGACATAACAGCTATTAAGCTGAACAGAAAATTAAAACTTGATGAAAAAATACTGATAAATCACAACACCTAGTATTGGAGTGAGAATTTCAGACATTCATCTGGATTGCAAATTACAGTTGTAAGTAAGTTTGGATAATAAATACTGTACAGGTTTTCAAAGTGAGCCAACTGACAGTTATCTGAACTCATTGTCATGTGTACAAGAGAACATTTGATATTTTTTGGCCAAGCAATTTCCCATTTATATTATGCTACAAAATATGAAAACTCCAACGTTTTCAATACAAGAATACATTGAAATCAATAAATACTAAGGGTAGATCTTGCTTGACCAAGAAATATTACTAGTGTCCGCGTATCAAAACAATTTAGCTCTAAACATTTGTACAATTACTTTTTACATCTGTTTATTATTATTATATGCAATAATAGCTGCTTATTCATTCACATCATGTTTAAAAATCCATTTTGGCAAATGTGGACACACAACATGCATAATATGTCAAACTGTGTACAGGTTTATATCTATATAGAGAATTTTAAGGGAGGACTTTTAAGCTTCTCGGGAAAGAACCATAGAAAACACTATTTTGTTTCTATGTACTGTCACCAAAATCACACTGAGCGAAGAAGATTTTAACAATATTTTCCACGGTTAGTTTCATGAAGAAAGTCCATTGCTGTTGTCCATTCACTAAATACTTAATTCCTATTGTAAAGTTCATATCACTGCACCTGGTAATTAACTAAGGGTTATCAACGTTAAGCTTGCAAATCTAGACCAAATCCTAGTTTATGACCACCTGCATTGAAGTTCTTAGCATCCACAAGTGCTGATAGGTTTAAGGTTACACCTGGAAGCAAAGGTTACAAACATATATTGTCATAACTATGAAGTTTTCAATATATCAGCGCGAAAAAAACTTCAAATAGACAGCTGTGATCTGTTTGACCTCATTGTGATTGCATGATAGCAGTTTTCTAATCCTGTTCAGATAAGTTAATCTTCATTGATATTTTCAGAGAGATTCCCAACTTATGATCATCATTGACAGGATTTATGAACAAAGAAATGAAAATGAAAAAAGAAGAACAATGGCTATTGACTACATTATATTGAAGTACCTAAAAAGTACTATGAAGTAAAACAGTTTCACATGAAATAATTTTATTGAAAATTTATTTTTCGGGTGTAAATGTGTAAATGGGAAATTCATTCAGTTATGACATTTCAATGTCTATAAGATTCAACGCCTGATGGGGGCCTTGTATAAATAAAAAACATCTTCCAAACAGAGAACAGGAAAGTTGTTGAACATACTTACCATCTCTAACCTTCTGTGAGTAGGCCAATCCAATTTGACTGGAGTTGTTCACTTTAGCCTGAAACAAGTTGGCAGTTATTAACAAATGATCTAGATATTGGCTGTAATTGAATTATTTAAATGGGATTAGAGCTCAGTAATACCACTACTGTTGTAGTAAATCACAGATATCAATTGCAATGTGTCATCTTTGCTCTAGTTTATTCCCATTGACACATAATGCCATTAATTATTTCATTAACAAGGGGTTTTCTTGAAAATGTGCTTGTCAAGTTGGTGCAGCAAAACTGAAATAACTTTCATTGAATATGCATGAAAACATAAGAAATTACTGTACAAACTGCATCGGCTTCCTTCTTGATAACACAGTTCTAAATAAGAAATTTTACACTGCAACTCATGACCTTATATTAGATAAAAAACTATGTAGCTTATGCTTCACTTACTCTAAATGTACTGTCTGGTTCTGGTGTATATTTAGCAGCAAGGCTGAACTTGGTGGCGTTACTGCCAGCAGCCCACGACAATTGAACGCCAGTCTCCAAGTTACTGTTCAATTTCTGGTACACAGAACCACCAAATTCAGCACCATCATTCCTGAAATAATATCCAGAAATAATGATTGTCAAATATAGACAAGGCACAACAGGCAAAATGTCACCATCTGCCATTTGTTAAACACCAACTACCAAACAATGTTCACAAATAAGTTGAGGACTAACAAAATGTAATAAAAGCTAGAAGACAAAAATGTACAACTTAATCATCCTAGTTTAATACATACTGCCTCAATTATAAATAAGAATGAGCTCAGGGTTATTTGTAATCCTCAGGGACTAAAACCCTTAATATTAACGAGATATAAATCATCACAGCTCATAAGACAAAACTAAATGGAGAGTATATTAATGTATACATACACATTGGTAGTGAGTTGGAAATCGCCACTTGAGTAACCTACACTGAAATTGTTGCGGGATAGTTTTGACTTTGAGGTATCAAATGACATTTGGTAGCCTGCCAACCATCCATTATAACTGAAAACAAAATTATTATGTTAAATTATACATAGTTGAATAGAATAAATCAATAAAGAACAGTTTTGAAGCAACAGAAAGGTATCTATATAATATGATGATGGATGAACATAACACTGTATTTCACAAACTTTGCAATATAAAAATGGAACATACTCATAATTTCAATAAACATCAATATTGATAATTGTTATGCTAATAAATTGACTACTTATGTTTTTATCTGCTATCAAGCCAAGAATTAAGAGTTATACCCTAGAACTCCAGCTCCATGCACTGTGGGCCCAGCAAAGTCAAAGTCCACATCAACATTAGCATTTACATATTCCTGTTTGTATGCTGTCTTTATTTTGCCACTCTTCTTGCTGCAATATGAAGCATTCACTGATGAATATTTTGACACCTTGTATCCAACCTTAATTTGGGCTTGATGTTTGCTAAAACATTATTAGGAAAATATGCAGCGCATACCTATTATTTCAAAACAATCAAAAATTAAATGTAGCATAGCCTCAAAAAATAATAAAAACAAGAATTGCGCTAATAATACAGCAAGCACCAAACGATTTACCAAAATCACCTGTTGTTTTGAGAAATTTTGCATATCAAAATTATGTTTTGTAATAATTTTGTCTGTTTTTATTTCCCTTTTGTCAGTTGGCAGAAATTCTAATGATACTTTTTACTTTTACAATTTTCAAACTATATGTCGTGCTGCAATATAATGTAATTCTAACATGAGCTCAGGTGTCATTTTGAAATCTCTACAGACCGAAATCCATTCATACGAACGAGACAATCTCATCACAGCTCAATATGTAATACATGTGCCATGTATGAAGGCTTCTCCCATTTAACCAATCAATGTGCTAGGCCTCACATACTTAAATTAAATAGTGAAACTGACAACCAGATAATGTTATGACATTAACTTACCCTGTCTGTGGTGCAAAGGAAGTGTCAAAAGTCAATTTTAGACCCTTTGCAAGCTGGTCTTCAATTGCAATTTCTGTAGCTAGAACATTGTCAGTATTCCAATTTTCGGTAAAAGTCAGACCTGCAAAACAGAACAAGAAGACTGGGATAAACATCACACTTTTTAATGAACATTCAAAATGGCCACCAACTAATTCTCAGGATGCTCAAAACAATCAATCTTGGCAATAGTCTACTCTTGCAACTGTAAAAATTTCAACAGGTAGGCAGTTTTCCTGGAATTTTGATGACAAGGTTTATGTGGCACCCATCTGCCCATCCAACAGCACAAGACATAACAACATAGCACTTTGAAAAAATGCAATCAAAACAAAATTCTGTATATGAGCCTTAAGGTCAGGGTGCATGTTTTTTGAATTTTGCTGCAACCCTCAATAGGGTCACATGTTATTTTTCAAATTTGAATCACTCCTTCCCCACAATCTCTCACTTTTGCACAACAAGTGCACTAATGTACCTAGAAAATAATGTAGAGAAGAATGTTTTGATAAAAAAGTATATAAAAACCAGAACAACGGCAACGCCAAAGCGTAGCGAATCCCATCGAACAGAAATGGCTGGCATTTTTACAAACGAATAGCAAATATCATAAAACAACACTCCAGAAAGGCCACCATTTTCAAAATGGTTGCTCACTAGCCAAGTTGTCATCAGAAGAAATAATATGCTTTTCAGTAGCCACCTCTAAAATTTTTGAAAAATCGCACACGTACTTGTAAAATAACACACACATAAAAATGGTGGCCAATTTTTCAAAATGGCCGACTACTCCCCAAAGTGTCTTTAGACAGTGTACAATGCTTATAGTATTCACATACCAAATATGAACAAAATCGCTCCACTATTTTTTGAGTTATAGCAAAAATCGTAAAATGATGAGTAAAGGCCGCCATTTTTCAAGATGGCTGCCATGTGCTTCTTTAATATCTACATTTGTAGCATTATTAATGTCTTTTTTAATTTTTTTACATTTAAAACATATTGATATAACAGTTTTACATATTGCACCTAAATTACTGTAAAATCGGCACTAAAATGGCCGCCATTTAGAAATGAGCGGCCATTTTGAAAATCGGCTTTCGAGCAGAACTTTTACCCCCATAAGGTATATGTGTACAAAATATGAACAAAATCAGGCCAACGGTATTTGAGTTATTGCCTGGACGGACGGACAGACAGACGGACGTACGGAGGCATTCCCTATATCCCTCCGAACTTCGTTCGATGGGATAACAAGAAAATTCAGTGAAAAAAATTCAGAAAATTTACAGAATTTTTTCACTGAATTTTTTCGGTTCTTATACATCTTACAAAACAAACCTTCTCATCAGTCTTTTCTAGGCACATAAGTGCACTCTTTGTGCAAAACTGGGAGATGTAGACAATGTGGGGAAGGAGTGATTCCTGTTTGAAAAATAACATGGGACTCAATAGGGGAATGCAGCAAAATTCTGAACATGCACCCTGGTCTTATAGAGTTATCCCAACATTAGGTTTAGTGTTTACTTCAACGTTCAAGCCGAGTTTACCATGGTAACATTTTTTGGCTTTTATGTCTACTTATTCTATTTGTTCTGATTAACACAAACAAAATTCTTCTTAATACTAAGTTGATTGTGAGCTCAGGATATTTTGTAATCGTCAGGGACTTGAAACCCTTAATATTAACGAGATATAAATCATCACAGCTCACATCGCAAAAAGATTCGAAAAAACTGAAAGCAAAAGAATCCTCTAAACTTACCATATTCTCCCCACTTATATTTAGTTTCAAGGTTAGCATTTATTTTTCCTGTGTCTTGATTAGAGCTGCCACAAGTTTTGAACTCTACTCCGTTTGATGACTTAGTTTTGACATCTAGTTTGTGGAATCCAAAATCTGAAAATTCAATAAAATCATCATGATAAACAATGACATGTAATTTCTTCTCAGCCTTGAGATGTGTCTGGTGAAACAGTAAGATGCTATGCGTATAAGAATGAATAAAAGATGATATTTAGGTGTTCCGTGATTCAGAAAGTATGCAGGACATAATTCAACTATAGGCAAATGTCTCCATGGTCAGAATGAATCATTTTTAAGGTGTAACATGAAGAATACGATGTCACATAATACTTTGGAAAATATTTAAGCGTTTGGACTTGTGAGGTCATTACATTCAGCAAGTAAAGTTAGTATTGACTTTTGCCTGGTATAAAATTTGAAAATATATGTAATATTTGAAAATATCTAATAAATTTCCCAACCAAAATTGTGCCAATATTCAAAAATTGCTACAGAATAAATAAATACCATCAAATTATAATATTAACCAATACTAAATATAGTATGTGTGAGTATATCTGACTTTTAGCTTATATCACTATCTAGAGAACGTAAAATAATATTGATATTTGTACTTAACCAGATTCAACTTTGATGTTTATTACAGAGAAAATCAATACTAAACTGATACCAAGGACTGGTGCATAAAAGAGGGAACCAAACAACATAGCTGCTTACTTCAATTAGAATAATATGTGGCAAAAATAACTTACTGAACCCCTTGCCGAACAGATCTCTGGCGGATTTGCCCAAATCTGAATAACTGGGTGGTACAGACATTCTGAAAATAAAATGAGAAATAAATTTAAATAAGATGCAAGGTTAAGAGAATAATGCAACAATCAATTGTTACAATTAAACCAAAACACCATTGATGAATGATAGTTCTATATTAAGTGGGATTTGTATCATAAATTATATTGCTATATACATAGGTCTGAAATACAATTACCTGTCAATTTAGAACTGTACTTTGTATCTGAATCTTAAACTCAAGCTAAATATAATTTAACTAATTCATTGCCTTGATAACACGAATATTAGAGATGAATTATCTCAAGCTGAAATATATTTTATATGTACATCTTTAACATACTGCACTGAAAGCAGCATTAACTGATAAAAATTCATAAACACCATACAAACTTGGCTCTTTGAACTAAATGTTTTTGATAACTTATAAAGATACAGAGTTTTCTTCCTAATAAAAAGAAAAGCAAGTTCATACAACACAACTGCCTGACTTCCAATGGTAACTACTAACCAGTTTTCACGCTTGGCAATGGACAGTTTACCTGTTGGCCCATGGGCTAAATGCCAATATGGTAAATCATGGCAATCATATCTTCAACCTTTATTGTGACCCAAAAATTTACTGACAATGTACAATTTATGAAACTTATTTTCTGACCAGGTAACATTCACACAATAGTAGAATTCTAATATTTTGAATGAAATGTATAGTAATTATTGAAGCCTATTAATTGTATATGGATATTATAAGCTGATTTTTGTAAAGTTCATGAAAACCTGTAGAAATAGTAAAAATGTGGAGAGCTTGGACACATACTTCTCAAGATCAATAAAAACTTGCATTTTCTGATTTGGTAACATTATCAATGATACAGAAATGAGTCAACCAAAAAGACTTCTCCAAAACAAGGCATATATGAGCTCAGGTGTCATTTTGAAATCTCTACGGACAGAAATCCATTCATACGAACGAGACAATCTCATCACAGCTCAATATATATGTATGTCCCAGAAATAAAGGAGTAAGTCGGTTTTACTCTCATTTTTTATCTCTTGAATTTTGTGCTTGTGCTCATGCATGTGGCTATTTCAATCACAGGGCTATTTCGACATTGGCTCATTTTTCCGATTCATGTTTGTTTTTAAAAAATTTAAAAACAAATCAAAATCACCAACGAACTAGATGCTAATTCAAGATGTCCTATCCCAGAAAAATAAACTATTGTCAGTGGTCCAAATAATGCTGGGGTCCAACTCCAAGCATCCTCCGATCACAGGGCTTCGAAATCTAGAATATATTCTTTCTTTTTACCCCCTGCGATAAGCAGTTAGCCTTTCCCCGATTAAGAACTCGCAATCTGATTGGCTGTCAGAAATCATGTATAAGTCATTGCGCATAATAAGACAACGTGATTCGGTTTAATCGGGCGCTTCCAAATTGGTTATAGCAGGGAGAAGGAGGTACGGATTCTGGATACCTGCTTAGGAGGATGAACTCCAAGTACCCCCATGACTCACTCTACCGACTCTGGGATGTTAGATTGAAAATTCTTGTATAGAACAAACTGCTAAGTCGACACACGGTAACATTTCATTATTTCGTTATTTTCACCATATGAATTACTACCGAGAATTTGTGTTCAGATTCTACTTGTTTGGTTCGAGGAAATAACCTATGGTTTCAGTTATCTGACTTTTAATACGACGAATATTTTTCACGAGATCCGGACTCTTGTGTCCAAATATCATTGTACTGATGACGTCACATTTCTGGAACCACGGGAGCACAATTCAGATTTGGACAGACAAAAGTCTGGCGATAAAATATCACTGTTTTGGCCTCTTATCAATGCAGTATTGCTTGAATAACGATCATTGGTGATAAAAAAAGTATAAGAAGACGCTTCGAATGAGGTATGATTGGTCTCATATTTTTCAGAAATGGCTCCACAATCGTCATTTTAGAATTTGAAATTTTCTGAGGTGTCTCATCTTGAAGAATATTTATTGAGCTACTGATTCTACTACAAAAGAATCTGGCCGGGATCTATGTATCAGCACTGCAAAATGGAAAATTGCCAAAAACTGAAGTCCTAAAAAAGCCCAAGACACTTCCTAATGTCAACCTCTATTTGGATAACCATAGGACGTTGTAGAGGAAATAACTACTTCGTGCTAATAGGTAAAACAAAATAACAGAATGATACAATAACAACGTAAAAAACATGAAAGAATCCAACAGTGAATGTCAAAACAAGGTCACTTTTCCCCAAAAAATGTCGGCCATCTTGAAATTTCTAAATTTTGTTCTTCAGTAAAAACGTTTTCGTTTGAAACTAACAAGCAAACGATCATTGGACAACTCTTTAAATCACAAAATAATTTAATAGGATCGAATTAAATCAGAAAACAGCATGAAATATAACACAATACTTACATAATTTAGAAGGAAACAGTGGCTGAGATGCAACTCACGTCGAGAATGAAAAAGTGGTGCACGGGAGTTACAATTTTAGAACACGGCGTCCGACCTTGAGATCACATCTCATAATTGCGCAAATCAAAGGGGCTGATAACTTCACGTACATGTATATCTGCTAAATTTTGAGACATCTTATTGTCATAAAACTAATCATAAATAGATATCAGAAGTAATTTGATCAATGACACACGTATATACAAAATAGCAACGTAATTTATTGAAAGGTGTTTGTGCGCAAATGTTCAATAGTGGTAAATTTTTTTCTCGCGTAAAACAAAACACGACTTCACAAAATCGTAAAGCAGTCGTGTTGCATAAACAGAAAAAAATTTCCAGAAAATTTCTATCGCCTTGGTTTGAATTACAAAAAGTAAGTGAAGACATCAATGGAAAGAGATGCAATTGATATGATGTCTGCATGAAATAAAGAGGAGAAATCTGACGAAATATCAGTAGTTTTCCAGGTATTCACATCGACCTACAGTATTTTTACTTTGTGCCCGGCGATCGTGTTTGTCTGATTCAGTGATTGTGTCTGCCACAGTGTCAGGATGGATGAACAGAAAAATCACGCTATCAAACCAAGGATAAGGACAGTTAGTGGACATGTTGATGGAGCAATAGTTTCATTCCACGATATTCAATATACAGTAAATGTACGTGCAGGACCATGTTGCTGTGGAAAGGTTACAGAGAAAAAGATTTTACAGAATATCAAGTAAGCCTACAGTAGATCTACTCTAACACTAACAGTTACGGAGTTCACATAGAACTACGTTATTTGGAGACCCTATCTGTTACAAGACTTATGCCTAGCACAACCGTCACCATGTGTTTTTAAGTTGCGAGGATCCTGCCATGACTGTGGTAGTGTTATTGTGAAAGCCTGATATAGTCTAACTGTGACAATGTTATATTATGTTGCAAGGCCTGTCATGACACTGATGACAGTGGTAATGTTAAAGCCTGATATGACAGTGGCTGTGCTATTATATTGACAATGGTTGCAAGGCCTGTCATGACCGTGGTAATGTTAAAGCATGATATATGACCGTGACAATGGTTACATGAATGACATTTAGTAGCTTGAGAATACTGTGATGAAAAAATTCATTGTTTAACTACCTTAAATAAGTAAATCTAGACTACTATACATGGTACTCGCATACATTGATACATATAATATTAGATTTCTAATCTCATTCAAGAATGTGAACATTGTCATGTCATATCAGGCTTTAACATTACCACGGTCATGACAGGCCTTGCAATATAAAACATCTTTGTCACGGTTAGACCAGGCTTTCACGATAGCAATACCACGGTGATGGCAGGATCCTTCACTACGGGCAAATTATTGATATGACGCGCCATCCGCTAGGTGCGCTGATCACGATCGCACTGGACGAAATGTTGCATCTCCAGGTGCAGAATTATTATGTTACCGTCAATGGAGAAAGATTGGGACCTTTTATTTGGAGAACGTGCACAGTTGTACTTATCTGGCTCTAATACGTCCGCGCGTGTGTAAAAGTCGTATGTTTATAATGTACTTCCCAGTTTGCTACATTTTGCTACATTTGGTCAAGTCATTAAAACGAACGATTTGATAGTCCAAGGACGTCTATGGATAGTCATACTTTAACCCTTGGTTCATTTTTTTTTCATTTATAAATAAAATTAATTTAAATTCACATATTCAAATACTAGAAACTCTAAATCGCAATCGTATCGTTTTAGATTTTTAAAATAATGCTTTAGTTTTGAAATACGACTGTGTAAACACAAACGTTGGTCAATATTTACGCGTGAGCTTCGTCTGATTTCACTTAAGAAAATCGTTGCCAATGTTATGTTGATGCACCCACTACTCAGTATATTTAGATCATAGAATTATAAAATAAAGACCCTCTAATCTACATATTAATATGATCATGAATCTGAAATCTATTTGAAAATCCATTCACATTAAGTTATTGAATTGTCTGTCTAAAGTTTACGCTATACACTGAACGGTTCAATCATCAAAAGTTTATTTCTGACTGCCAGCGCAGTTCATTCCTCGATATTTAGACATAAGAAAACATAACTTACAATCATAGTATGGATGTGAATTTAATTACTTTAATACTTACATTCATAATGATTACTGTCGTGAAATTATTTTTGGAATCCGTCCAAGAACAGTGGTGTAAAACGGCTTCTCCTGCGACCAACCTAAACATGTCCGTTTGACGCAACAATTTTGCACTCACGATGTTTTAAAGGTTATTTACAGAAAGATGACGAAAATATTTGACACCATATCAAGCAACTTATAATTTAGATAAACATGCAGTAGAGACCCCCTAGTACCACCATTGAAAAAATCAGAAAAAATCTGTAAATTTTAAGCAATTCAATTCTGCTCACCAAGAAAGCGGGTTTTACAAGAAGTATAGACCGGGAGCGCGTGAACACCTAGCGGTAGGTTTTAGAGTGAAAAGCATAAGACGAAATTGGCGCGTCATATCAATAATTTGCCCGTAGTGCTTGCAAAACTTAAAAAACACTAATAACATGGTGACAGTTGTGCCAAACATAAGTCTTGGAAGAGATAGCTTGTGGGTATTTGCCTCTTCCTTTCAGACGGTCAAAAATCAAGTTTTAGAGAAAGTTCAAATGCCTCAATCGAATCATTTGGTCTACTTACTCATATGTACTTGACTTATTTTTTTAAGTCAAATATTCATCCATTCAATAGCCAGTTATAGTGATACTCAAAATTGGATCCACATGCTTTAAAATCTTCTCTTGCACTCGAGTGACGTCAGAGTTCATAGAAATTCGAACTCGTGACAAAATTCATTGAATCTCTATTCTCCTCCCATTTCGGGGAAACCATTCTGTTCTAAATAACGTCATTTTCTAAGAATCTCTTCCCTGTTGGAATGTGAGATGAATGCGAGGGAGAAATGGTTTGTATGATATAAGAGAAGGGGATTTCTATTGAATTTCCTGTGATGAACTAACGAAAGAAAGGTGGCGCTAGTTAAGTCATCGACCAAACTTATTATACTTGGGAAAACTTAAGAATAAGACCAAATGAGAGAATAAATGGATTTTTGATGGTCGGACACCAAGAGGCAAATATTTAGCCTATTTACTTATGTATCATTTTAAATGTGTATAATCTAGATAATACACATTAAAAACGATACAAATCATATGTAAATAAATAGTTCTCTGTGACAGTGTTGTGTACATCTAACCTAAAGAAAGAATCAAGACCATTTCTTGTTAAAAAACTGAATTTTGACCCAAAACAGGTACTGTCTTGGACAATTTTTCCATGTTTTTTTCCTCTCATATTGGCCAGTTTCCATGGTTTATGCCCAAAGACAAAATTTGACATGTTGCACAAACCTATCCAAATACATGTAATTCAGAGCGTTAACCGGGACTATCTACGCAAGGTGTGGTTTTAACATGATTCAGTTTTACATGCATGCTCAAAGATAAAAGAACTTCTTTCCCATGGTTTAAAGTGCTTTTTCGCAATTTGTTGGTTTTAGTTTTTATCCCAAACGAAAGCTTATTAAGTTATAGAAAACATTTGGCTGAGTTAGGTTTGGTTTGTTTTTATCATGGGCTTTCAACTAGAGATTGAAAGCCCATGTTTTTATGTTAAACGAAAATATTCTGGCAATACAAGGTGCATTATTATGAATGTAAGTGACATCTATCTCAAAATAAATGATCATGCATAGTATGCACTGTGTTCGCTTAAAACTGAACCAAAAATTGGAACCTCTATTTCACTGTTTTATTGACTCAGATAATCCTAAAAAATAAAATGTCAAAAGACCATTGTGCAATAATATTCGGGAAAATATATTTACATCTATGATTTGATTACTATTCATTTTTTAAAATTGAAAGGAAACTCAATGGTTTGCCCATGTACTCCCCTAGAGCCCCCTAGGAAGTCCCTTTATGTTAAAATACACTGAGACGACTGTCAGACTAGATCATTTTATTGAAATGTTTATTTTCATTTTATTTCAGTGGTTTGTTCAAACCAGGAATGAATGCTATTCTGGGTCCAACTGGGAGTGGAAAAACCTCGTAAGTAAACATTAGTACCAAACAAAAAGCTTTGGAAAATGGCACCAAAGTAGAGTTAGAATAAGAGCTGAGTGGAGAGGGTATTATAACCACTTATCTTATCAATAACATATCTTGATTTGAACTTCTAATTCATCGATCTTTGTGTATGACTTCAAGCACGTCATATCAACCATCCCTGGTTAATGGAGAAACATAATCATCATTTATTTATTGATCACGTTGCTAACAAGAAATGGATGATTTTGAACCTGTTGCTAACAGAAAAAAATAGATGAGTTTGAAATAAATGTAAATTGGCCATGAGCGAAAAATGCCAGATAATTCATGGGAGAAAATTTGCATTAAACAAAAGTGGAATGCGAAAGAGGTAATAATAAGGCCACCTATGAACTCCTCTTATCTTAGCAAAGTAAATGTACTTCATACTGTATATCTCAGATAGTACATGTACCATCCATCAGTGGTCTCCTACCCCAGTGTTTCACATATTTGTGTTCTTCATTGCTTTGTCATCATGCCTCCACGAATCCCTGATATTACAGACCTACAACCTGGGTGGACTAGACTCCACTGAACAGTAAAACAGTGAACACTCTCTAGTGAACACCTGTGTTAAGTGAACACCACTTCAAAACACATTTTACATTGACTCCTGCATAAAAAACCCTCTGTAATCATTACCTACCAAGAAAGAACATTTTTGTAGCTCTATAGGTGTGCACTATACTGTATACAGGTTTTATATATTTTTAAGGGAGTTGGAAGGGGTAGAGACTAGTGTAAAAAATGTGTAAATCGTCTTTTCATAAAGTGAGTCATGGAGGCCTTCAGCCAGGGGGATTGAAAGGTTGTTACCCCTAGTTACAAATACTTTCAAAATCATGCAGTTTTTCCCGTTTGATCACTTCAAATAATTTTGGGCCCAGGATTGTCAAATTTGATCCCCCTTTTAATAAACGGAAATTTGACCCCCTCCCCTTTGCAAAAGCTGGTAATGGGCTTGCAATGCTTCTCTCACAATCCTAATTCTATTATCTGAAAAAAAATTGTGGTATCTGATCAAATATATAAGTTATTGAAGATTTAAGATGCAGAAATATCCCAATTCCTAAGAATTAAAAAGGAGATCCTCTTTTTGAATTTATTAACAGATAATCATAACATATAAAGGATTATGCTGAAATAATGTCAGAACTTTTGGTCTCATAGCAAACAAAGGGGAACTTCTTTGACACTTTTTCTCAACTTACATCAATCCCTTCTCCATTCTAACAGCTTAATTCACATTAAAAGTTAAAATTTGCATGTAGCGTCATGGAGGTGCAATCAGCACATGGCTTTCCATGTGACTTTAATCTTAAGTAGACTTGATGTTTGAATCCAAACCCTAGATTTTCATGATATTTTGTTATCTTCCGTGATTCTTACTAGATAAAAGATTTTAATAAGCACATATATGTAGTAAGAATTATGAAGTGACATTATTTCATGTACTGTTTAAGATAAACATTAATTTGTGCGACTAAATTAATTGAAGGAACAATGTCGCCTAGGTCTGTCCCCCAGACAAAATACCTAAGATACATGTATATCTTGAGAAGGTACAGAGGGCACAGTATCACCGATATATTGAGAAAATCAACCTACTGTCGGATAAAACACAATAAGTCCAAATCAACATACAATCGTTTAATCATTATTATGAAACCCTTGAAAGTAATAAATATAACTAAGTGATATGTGGAATGATGACCAGAAATGTGTTGTGGTTCAAAAATAAGAAAAAAGAAATTTCAAATTCATTTAGACTTTAATACTAGCCAGTAGAAAAGTAATATCTGTGAACAATCATCAAATTGATCGTGTTATGAATTAGTCGAAGCCTCAAAGTTGGTAAATAGATAGACCAACTCCTTATACATCTTCTAGAGCCAAAACATTAGGGGTTACTCTAATTGTGCTTTTATCAGACATTGCACCTTTAAATTGGACACATCTCCCCTTGCTAGTATCAATTGCTTGATTTCTAACAAAATAGACTAATAATTAACCTTATCATAAAATGTACTCTAACACCACCCCACTCGACATATGTCTTATGATAAGCAATATACAACCAAGTTGAGCAAAATAGAGCTCATATTCTCAAGTTTATACTAAGTGCAATAGCTATCAATCGTGTTACCAAAACACCAGTGAAAATTTCGTATTTATTGGCTCTCCAGCTAACACTTCTCTCATGAACCATGAGACTTATCGATTCTAAAGTTGGCAAAATAGGCCTTATTTGGCCCTACAAGGTATAACCATGGTATTTGGTGGTCAGGTTTGACAAATAAATATAATCAACCACGAAATGCAATGATATGCCATGATAAATGATAGTTATGATTATAGCAATGAAATACCATCGTATGACCATGGTATTTGACGGTCAGGTTTGACAAAGTAGTACAATCAACCAAGAAATGCCATGCTAAATGAGAGTTATGATTTTGACAATGAAATGCCATCAACCATTATATACCATGGTAAATGATGGTCAGGAACAATGGCATTGAAATACCATGATCGTCACATCTTACAATGAAATGCCATCAACCATGGTATACCTTTGTAAATGATGGTCAGGAACATAGCAATGAAATACCATGATAATACCATGGTATTTGATGGTTAACTTTGAACATAAAATACCATGAAACATGGTATAAAATGATATAAAAACTGACCAAAAAACATCATTGCCACCATGGTCAGACTTGGTGGTAATGGAGAGGTTAAGCTAACGATGTTTTTCACAACGTAACCGTGATCGTGAACACAAAGTACAAAATTTAACAAAGGAATGTATCGAGCGCTCATAGTTTTATGCGCGCTAAGTCTACTTCAGATACTCTTTCAGCTTCAGAGTTTCGGGTTTAGAACGGGAGATTTGAATATTTGACGTTGGGTCAACGGGAACCATTTTACTCGTGTCTATTGAACACTATGCTGTCAATTTTGATTTTGATGCACAGTTGAATTCTTGCTGAACACGATGATGTATGTCATGCATGATTTAGCGCCAAAAATCTTACGAAACGAGCTCGTTTAAAATATGTATTAGAAACCCAGCTATAAAACCGCATCAATGACATACTATAGAATCATTACACGCTATTGTGTAGTCTAAACAAACACTGGATTTGAACGGCTATTTATATGAGAAGGCTACATGAATTTGTATATGGTCGAGTGATACGTACAGGTTCAGTTTCGATTATATATGCAAAGCTTAACCTCTCCAATGTCATTGCCGATCATGATAGACCATGGTATACCATGGTATCATTGTTTTCATTTAAACATGGTCTTTTTTCCCCCGGGTTTTTCCCCCTCCCAATTCATTTACTCCCCATCACAGTTTACTTCAGAAATAGATATGGGATGAGATAGGCAAAGGCTTGGATCAAGACAGCATGTACATATAGATCAACAAGATAAACATTCTATTGAATCTGTTATCTTTATAAGTTAAAAACTGGGATGACTGACAAACTTATCCAGGTCTAAAAACATAGTTTTGTAATCAAGGTTTGGCATCTGTTATGAAAACAATAGGATGGCATGTTAAATACTAACTAACAAAGGTCAAGATTCTAGTACTTATTTCTGCACTTTAAGTAATTTATAGAAGTATGTGCTGAGATTAGAGCCGTTATTCATGTGGACGGATATAGTACATGTATACATTTATATTTAATATTTATCAGGGATCTGGAAATAAACATGAGGGGCCTAATACCTTCCCATGCTATAAATTAATATCTGAGGCATTTAGAAATGGTCCAAAATTTAAAATATTATTGGTCTTAATTCTTTTAAATGATACTTTTTTAAAGAAAATACATTTTTGAAATAGATAAAAGCATATATTTTAAAATGAGATATTTTTTCAAAGAAAATACATTTTTGAAATAAATATAAGCATATATTTTAAAATGAGGCACAAAAGCACCACATTTAGCCCCAACCTTTCTGCCAGTCCATTTCTACATTTCTAGTATGTATCTAAAGAAACCATCTTGAATCATTTAGACAATCCAATATCATGGATGTAGCCAGTCAGGAGGCAGAAAACAGAAAACTATTTCTTGGATGTTTGTTTACACAGATAAACTATGACAAACATGTCCCATTTTTAAAGGTTTAAAATATATCAACATTGGCTTGAAATTTGCCTCACATACTTGAATTTGCCTCACCTACTTGAATTTGCCTCACCTACTTGAATTTGCCTCGCTTATTTTTTGATCCTGGCTACGCCCTTGAATGTTTATCTCTGACCCATTTTATGATATATAAGTTACACTCCACATACCATATTTTGAACACTACATGAGTAATTATGAGTCATATTTTTAGTGAAGTCACATTCCTCAAGCGTATTTCACAACATGCATAGGGATTTCAATATACATGTAAATGATTTTTTTGAGTGACTCTCTTGTAAAGGTCAAGTTTACGAAATATTTATTGTCAAGTCATCTCATTTACTCGTATAGGTTCCTAGTCAACTCTGACCCTAGTTAACTCGGACCCAAGTGCCCTAGTTAACTCAGACCCTGGTTAACTCTGACCCTAGTCAACCTGGACCTATGTATTTTTTTTAGATTTTTCCTTAGTTTGAGCATTAAAATGAAAAGTAATATATAAAAACATAAATCATATATAATTGTTAAATAAAACAATGGTTGATAATGGTGAAAAAATATTCTGACACTTTTGAGTCAATCATAAACCATTCAGCCTGATTGTGATATTATATATGCAGGCAGGAATAAATATTTATTAACCAAAAGTAAGTAAGTTTGTAACAAACAAATAGTATTTGTTGTTGACCCATTCTGATACACATCCAATTGCGTAGCCAGAATTTTGTGACCAGGGGTTCTATTTTTTTTATGTTATTCACAAATCCTCCCTCCCCAACTTCATAAGGGTGCTTCGCATACACGCATTTTTGTATTTATACATACAATTTACACTCCCACCAAAGGTTTGGCAGCCCTAACTCCCCCATGGTTATTTCTTTGACCTTACTGCTGGATATCATCACATTTTAGGAAGATAATGATAAAGATTTTCCTCAATGATTCATGAATTTGACCAAGTCTTGATGGTTGTTTTATAAGCAACTGAGGAATATCTAGTTACGAGCCAAAATTCAGCTAAAAACCCGGACGTGTATTAAACGGTTATAATAAAAATTATCAGGAAAATATGTATATGTTAATATTCAACAGTTATAATAAAAATTATTAGGAAAATAAGTATATGTTAATATTAAAAAGTTATAATAAAAAATTATTAGGAGAATATGTAGGTACATGTATAATGATAATATTAAGTCAAATATTGCTGTGCTATAGTGAGCTATCAGCTCCTTTATTAGGCGTCCTAGAGATTTCATACAATTGACTATTATACAAAAACAATCGTTTGGAGTATAGAACGTCAGTGTCTTCATTCCTTGCCTGAGATGTTTTATTTTTTCCAAGAAGAAGTAGCTTTAAAGCTTCAAAATAAATTGTGTGAAATTATTGATATTTCTATTCTAAAATGTCATGCTCCGGGGTCTTACAAGACACAAACCTTTGAGAAGTTTCAACTTGACGATAACATGTTTTTAACAAAATAGGGCTTTAGTGTTCACCATAACAAATATGAACTTATTTATTGATTGAAGTTTTCAAATTGCATAATAAATTATATTTCTGATCACTGCTTTGATTTTTTCCACAAAATATTTTTTGGGAAATCCTGACCGGGGGTTACGTTTGAAGCTTTGAAATATGAAATAAAAATGTGTTATGAAATAATCATGTATATTCGACACGTTAAAAAAATTGTTTAAAACACAAATGCACTAATACATTTCCCCATAGGCTAAATTAGATTCATTTGTTTTAAAACATAATATAGTTCTAATTCTATATGAGTTCAATATAAAACGAATCAAAATCAATCTTATTTAATTATAAAGAGTTATTTGATCACAATGACGCAAATAGCATAAAAGTATAAAGGTTTTTAAAGATTGATTTCGACTCATCAGAAATATACATAAACATAATTTTTTAAAGATTTCAGTAATGAATTGAATTATATCTTATTTCTATATTCTTTACATTTTGCAAATTAATTGCTTTCACCTCTAAAATAGCAAAATACAGTAGTAATATACAGCTGATGGTAATTGTACAGCGTTGTGGAAATGTAACATATTTCGTAACAATATACAGTACAGCATACATAAACAACCTAAGAGTATCATGCAACTACAATCTCAAATGAATACTTATAGGCATTTGAATTTATAATGATTGGTAATGATCATTATAAGGTCCTTGACATAAGAGGAATGGTAATTTCAAGTTAATGATAAGATGCTAATATAATACATGATAGAAATATAAAAAAAAGACAATGCACTCTATTAAATATTTTGACATCATAAAATAAGATGACACTTACATAGTCATACTTGATGTACTTTGAGGGTAGTTCTCCTTCTCAAATATTTGTCCTTATATTGGTTTTCCCCTATTCAGGCTTATTTCATGAACCGTATGGCAGTTAACATTGACCTTTTCTCTCTCTTTATTTCATAAGAATAATTGCATCTCTCTACGTGCGACAAATCAGGTTGTTGCGCCACATTCTTTCATCACATTTTTTTATGATCGAGGCTTGAGTTTGTTACATGCAAACATGCTTTTCTATGATGAGATTTTCCAGTTGCTATAGTGACGATGAATTCACCGTGGTTATGTGCAATTTAAATCATCTTTATAGTCAATGCAGGTTTCTGAATAACATAAGTTTTCCACCTTTCAACTGTGCTGCACACCATCTGTTTTTTACTTTTTATTAGCTCACATGGTGAGCTTTTGCAATCACTCACTCGTCCGTCTGTCTGTCCGTCCGTCCATCCGTCCATCCGTCAACAATAGTGGCACGTTTTAAAACCTCTGTCGATAGGATTCCTGTTTTAAGTTATTTCTGTTCAACATCCATACAGAAAACTCCCCTATGACTCCTGGTTCAAAAGCTCGCCTATTTTCAAAATGGCCGCCATTTTTGTCTCACTAAATTCACTTTTGACCCATTTCCTAGCTTTAGAAATAATTTCAGGTGTCCTACATTGTAAAAATTCATGTCAATGTAAAGAGTAGATATATGAAATAATTTTGTTACAAAAAATCAGTGAAAAATTATATCAATTTTTTTATTTTCAGCCATTTTAGTTAACATTGATTTGTCCATCTGACTCGCAAAATCCACTTTTCCGTCAACAACAGTGGAACGTTTTAAAACCTCTGTCGATAGGATTCCTGTTTTAAGTTGTTTTTGTTCAACATCAATACAGAAAACTCCCCTATGACTCCTGGTTCAAAAGCTCGCCTATTTTCAAAATGGCCGCCATTTTTGTCTCGCGAAATTCACTTTTGACCCATTTCCTAGCTTTACAAATAATTTCAAGTGTCCTACATTGTAAAACTCCATGTTAATGTAAAAAGCAGATGTATGAAATAATTTTGTTACGAAAAATCAGCAAAAAATTATATCCATTTTTTTTATTTTCAGCCATTTTAGTTAACATTGATTTGTCCATCTGTCTCGCGAAATCCTCTTTTGGACCATTTGCTTAAAACCTCTGTCGATAGGATTCCAGTTTCAAGTTATTTTTGTTCAACATCAATACAAAAAGCTCCCCTATGACTCCTGGTTCAAAAGCTCGCCTATTTTCAAAATGGTCGCCATTTTTGTCTCGCAAAATTCATGTCACTGTAAAGAGTAGTTGTATGAAATAATTTTGTTACAAATAATTGGCAAAAAATTATATCCGTTTTTTTCAGCCATTTTATTTAACATCGATTTGTCCATCCATCTCTCAGTCAGTCCAAAATAGTGGCAAGTGGCTAGAAATAATTTTGTTACAAAAAATCAGCAAAAAATTATGTCCGCTTTTTTTTATTTTCTGTTATTTTAGCCATCATTCACTTCACTTTTGAGCAACACCATGTGAGTCCAGTACCCACAGTACTAATTTTTTTATTTATAGTATCTGAGAATTGTATTGACTATTTATTGCATGCCGTTTTGTTGATTGTTCTGAATTGACTATGATAGGTGGACCATTTCTTATGCTGACTAACTGAATACCTTGATTTTGCTGATCATAGATACTGATTTTGCTTATCACAACATTCCTTTAACTATTTTGATTTCTTTATTTATTTAAATAAATCATAATATTCAAGAATTGTATTGATTATCAATTGTAAGACTGTTGAGTTGATTGTGCTGAACATAATATAAAATTAACATGTGATGCAAGCTGTTCTTTATTTTAGATTTTGCCTCATATTCATATTTCTGATTGTTCTTTAGGCTATTAGATGTGCTAGCTGCAAGGAAGGATCCAAATGGGCTCCAGGGGACTGTATTGGTCAATGGCCAGCTACAGCCCAGCAACTTCAAGTTAATGTCTGGCTATGTTGTTCAGGTAAAAATTTACACCAGTTTGAATATGTTAAAGGTTCTTTTACATTGAGACCTCTCATTCTGACTGACATATATTTAAAAGTTTACGCTGCCACCTCTGTATGATGTCTTTGAGGGAGTTTTAATGGGTTTGTGTAAGTTAACTTAAGGGAATCATGACTCCTCTTTTGTCTGAGCTATCTTAGTTTAGCTCTAATCCATTGTTGAGCTTATTCTTTTCAACAAAAGAGGATGGATACTCCTTAGCATCATTAAACACTGCTCCATGTTAGGCTGTAGTAGCAGGAGCTAATGTAGCATTTGCTTAGGCACAGGAGATGTCAGTTATCTCATTAATCTGTAAAATACACATTTTCATCAAAGCCAATTGTGCTATTACTAGGCTTGTCAGTGTTAGAAAAGTTATATTAATTCGATGTGATATTTTCTAGGATGACGTTGTTATGGGCACATTGTCAGTTCGAGAAAATTTCCACTTCTCTGCTGCCCTGAGACTACCATCCTCTGTTTCATACGAAGAGAGAAAGGAACGTGTCGAGGAAATTATAGTTGAGTTGGGACTCACTAAGTGTGCCGACACAAAGGTTAGTACAACATACAGAACAACAAATAACAGTCCTGCAAACAAACCAGCAACAGCATACAAATCAGTATTTAACAGTGTGGGTCATATCCACTCTAGAGTAGCCCAAGGGGGGTGTAAATATTTAGAGTCGAGTGTAAAATTGAAGTGTCTTGCCACATTGACAAACATGAAAAAAGTGAAATTCACCATTGTTGAATATTATAGAACAAATTCAATTTTAAGTACTTTCATAAACATATTACTTTTTTAAAAGATTTTTATTCACTGTGGCAACACTGTGGCGAGTGTAATTGTTCATTGGCGAGTGTGAAAACACAAGTTGATTGCCACTTGGCGAGTGACAGAAAAATCCTAAGACCCACACTGATTTAAACAGCATGGGCACTAAAGTACAAAATGACTAAATGTCAATGGCTTTTGAAGTTTGTATGCCAGTTTGCTATGTCTTTATATATGAAGAATGTTAGAGCTAGGTCATTAGAAGTGTTGTGTTTAAGTATATTTTTGTACTTTTTGCACTTTTACTGCACTAATCTATTGTGTCAGTGTACTATATGTCATGATACCAGAACAAAGTACAAGAGTACAAAGAATCAAATGTTATAATGCAGTATCACTTTATCATATAGGTTGGTACAGAGTTTATACGTGGGGTGTCAGGAGGTGAAAGGAAGCGTACAAATATTGGCATGGAACTTATCACAGCACCCAATGTCTTGTTTTTGGATGAACCAACAACTGGACTTGATGCAAGCACTGCCAATGCTGTCATGAGCCTCCTCCAAAAGTATGAACATCTTTCAATATCTTAATACCTGGTCCCAGTCAAATCTAGTACACAGCCCCCTAAAATGCAGCAAATTGGCAACCTCTCTATAACCATGGGACTTTACCCTTATCAGACTGCTCTTGAAAAGGCCTCTAAGTAATTCTATACATGGTCCACAAACAATTTTTTTCACCATCATATTGTTATAGTCTTCAGCTTTTCTGTGGACAGTGTTTGGCAGTTGGTGTTTGGCATTTGGTGGTTGGCATTCGGCGGTCAGCATGTGTAACAAATGGCAGGTGGTGACATTTAACATGTTAATGCATGAGAAACTCCATGAGAAACTATGATGAATGTGTTTTAATTATGCATGGACTGGATGTAAATCATATCTCGAGGCAATAAAATAAAATAAAAACTTCATTTTCACATTTTAAACTGAAAAAAACATCTGAATTAATACTTTTTTGTAAAATATTGACAAGGCAGTTATGTCTGGTTAGGCCCACAATACAGTAAAAACTCAGATAACTTTGAAGGATTTGAGAAATTTTGAGAAAAAATTCCCGCTTTGAGCAAAAGAGAACAGGGCACCTACATAAACTCATCTAAAATGTTGTATTGTATGTATGTATGTATTCTTTATTTGCGTCTATTCATTTAGACAGTTACATGGTATACAATGATATAAGGTAAAAGAAAAGAGTTATATAAAAGTTACAGATACAAAAAGTTAAACTGCCTTAACATCGTCTCCCTGGCCCTATGCATAGAGTGAATGTTAATCGAAACAGAACAGTGAGAATCAAGGCTCTCCGGGCCCAAACTCAAATGATTTATACCAAAGATGAAGCTCAATTTTTCATCAATTGTATGGCACTCTTCACTTTCTAAAAGCATGGTAAGTGTATGTCGCTCATGAGAAAGTGCGTCACAACACAATAAGAAATGTTCCAAGGTGTCATTTTCTTTGCTGCACAGAGGGCATAAAGCACAAATATCAAATGGGTAGCAACATGTTTGCAGTTCGAATATTAGGATACATTGTTTGTTGAGAATAAGTATTTTCTTACTAATATTCCACCATAAAATTGGCTGCATAAATGACCTAACAGTAGGTACAAACATAGTTAAAGAATTATACAATGAGCACATCATGATAACACTATGATAATTACAGGTTGAGTAGGAAAGGTCGTACAATTATATTCTCCATCCATCAGCCTAGGTTCAGCATCTTTAAGCAGTTTGACAACCTAGCTCTGCTCTCCCTTGGGGAAATGGTGTACCATGGACCATCCAACGAAGCACTCGACTACTTTGAATCAATAGGTAAAGCTAAGACTAGGGTTGTAATATATAATTCTGCTTTGTGTAACTGTTTTCTTTAGTGTATTATGGTTGGTTTTCATTTTATTTATTTTTAATAAATACTCATTTATTTCGTTAAATCATTAAATAAATTTACATTGTTAATCACGGCATTGTTAATCACGGTTTTCATGAATCACAATTTTGTTAAAATTATCATGAGTGACGTAAAAGGAAGATTGTTATTTATTAATCCCAAGTTATCAAGTATCATGTAACCATATAAACTAAAAGCACTGTCAAAAGAAATTGCCTCTTATTTAAGGCATGCTCTCATGCAATATCAGTTATTCTATGTGGTCTTATATATATATATATTCAGGTTACGAATGTGAAGCACACAATAATCCCCCAGATTTCTTTCTGGATATTATCAATGGAGATTCTACTGCTGTAGCTGGTCAGGGGATCAACCCTATTGGTGAAACAGCCTTTGGTGAGTTGATTTAAACGACACCCTCCCATTTATTCAGTTAAGGATGAGCAAAGATAATTTAAAAAAATACATTCTAGAGTAATCAGTCAATTTTCTTAGCTTTTTGTAATCTAGTTCTCACATCATGTATTTGGAAGAATATTTTCACTAAATTACCCCAGGCATTTGACATTAACAAATAAGGTTTCTCTATATAGCAATCAAAAAGTATATCAACTACAAAGCGAATCACTTTCCAAAAAAAATTTTAAGAACACAACATAGCAAATTATACTCAGTGATCCTCTCCTAAACCTTTTTGTACTTCGATACATTTGCATATGTTAGGTAAAAGACATAGAAGTTACGGTAGTTTTGATGACAGGACACAGGATGAACCACATTGTAGTCATAGTAACAAACCGTTTTTAGATACAGGTACCCATGTGTGATGAAATCTTGGCATGCATGATCCTTTGCTAAGGATAATGGTCAACATGCTTTGTTAATGCTAATTTAGCAGGCCATGTGATTGTAGGATAGATCCTGACAAGTCTCATTCTTTTATACATACTTTCAACCTCTGAATACAGAATTATCTACAAAATGTAGAATATCTTTGTCTCTCCACCCTGCGATAAGCAAGTCTCGTGCAAGTCACATGACCTTATTGGGGGTTGAACTTTAAAAATTTCATTGGATACTATCTTTGAATACCACAGGGCAGAAAGAAAAAGAATCATTCTTGTTCTTAGAGTCTTGTATTCAGAGAATGTCTCTCTTTCGTTGTGACATGAATCATATAGCAAATTTTCTTGCTCAATGTGGTAACCCATGCTTGTGTTTCAACTTAACATATTTTACTATCAATTTTTTTTCATATTCCTATACATATGCATGGGCATAGCTAACCATGAGGCTGGTGAGGCAATAATTGCTTCACCATAGTTACACAGAATATTTTTACTGGAACAGTGAGAATGATGTTCCATAAAAGTATGATATCCTCTAAAACTTAAAATGTGATTCTTTATTTTTTGCCTCACCTACAGCCTTTTTAGTGCGGCTTATAATACTATTCACATATTTGATTCTAGCTGAAGAGATCACAGGGACAAACCTCACTACCAACTATTATAGTGACCATAGCAACTATGGTAGCCATACCAACAATGGCTACCATCATGATAAAGCAGAAATGGAAGCTCATTTTAGAGCTAAATTAGATATGACTGGTACTACATATAATGATATTTATGTTTATATTATTATAACATACATGGTGTCCACAATTTAAGCACCCTCCCCTTGCAGATACTTATAAAGCTACACCCTGTGTGTTATATGTACTATAATATCATCCAGTTCCCCATAATCTCCTAGCCTTAGAGGTGTTCATAAAATGATAGTTCATAAGATATACTATTTTTACATTCATTATACATTTTTGTTTCCTAAGAACCTCCCCCTGACTATGACAGTCCAATGAGACATCACCATAGTAACCATCATCATAACAACCATAACCATAACAACCATTACATTAGAAATGGTATCCATCCTTTTCGAGGTAAACATAGTTAAGATATGCTTAATGCTTTGTCTTAGAATAAGAAGACAATCCTGCAACACCAACCATACTGCAATGATTAATCTTTTCTACCCTTTCACCAATGTTTATCATGAAACATTTACCCTGCGTGCAGAGTCTAGTTAAACGAAGCTCTCTTTAAGGAAGTGAAGTCAAACGAATGCAAAGGGTATGAAACATTTGATTTACTATTTGAATTACAAAATAAATAAGTCTGATGATACAAAAGGTACATTCAGGCACTGTTTTGTAGAAGGAACATCCAGGTATATTTGGTAATGAAGAAGACCATGTTGTACAGAAGGAACATTTAGGCATGTTTGGTTGTTAAGACAATGTTTTGTAGAAGGAATTTAGGCCCATGGCATATCACTCAGGCATATTTGGTTGTTAAGACAATGTTTTGTAGAAAGCACATTCAGGCACATTTGATTGTTAAGAAATTTTTTTGTAGAAGGAATATTCAGGCATATTTTGTAATGAACGCAATGTTGTACAGAAGGAACATTCAGGCATATTTGGTTGTTAAGACAATGTTGTGCAGAAGGAACATTTAGGCATATTTGGTTGTTAAGACAATGTTTTGTTGAAGGAATTTAGGCCCATGGCATATCATTCAGGCATATTTGGTTGTTAAGACAATGTTTTGTAGAAAGCACATTCAGGCACATTTGATTGTTAAGACATTTTTTTAGAGAAGGAACATTCAGGCATATTTTGTAGTGAACACAATGTTGTACAGAAGGAACATTCAGGCATATTTGGTTGTTAAGACAATGTACAGTATTGTAGGAATATTCAGGCATATTTGGTTGTTAGACAATGTATTGTAGAAAGAATATTCAGGCATATTTTGTTAAGACAATGTATCGTAGAAGGAATATTCAGGCATATTTTGTTAAGACAATGTATCGTAGAAGGAATATTCAGGCATATTTTGACAGGACATTGTGGGACATCAATAATCCAGATTTATTTTAGAAATGTATCCTAATAATGGACCTGGTAAGCCACACTTAATGCTCTTATTCTAACGTTTCAAATCTAATTCTAAATGTGCATATTTTCCCATATATCATTTCAAGCTGCTAAATTTACCAAAGTGGAGCCAGTGGAGGGTGGATCTAAAACGCCAGGTATTTGATAATTGTGGAATTTTTGGTTTTTGTTCTGTTTTTAGACCACAAATGTCTATATGTCAGTCACACTGTGTCATTGTGATTAAAATAAATATGTCTGGCCTTAAACTTGTTTGCACCTTAGATAAACATTGAATGAGTATTTGATTAAATATTAATTCAAAAAATGTGTACTGTTTTATCTCATGTAGCACTTATGTTGTATCCCCCAATGTATGCAGGGGCGTAGGAAGGTGTAAATTCAACACTACGCCAAAAATCCCGCCAAAAAATATGAAACAATTGTGTCAATATTCTATATCAAAACGCCTATATTATGCTCGTAAAACGTCATTTTATGGTAACAGAGATTTCAAGCTTGCAATATTCACAACCTAAATGTGAACGGAAATACTTAAGCGATGTATGGACGATTGGTCATACGTATAGGTCTGTAGGTTGGCGTTTCGATTTCATATGCAAGCTTTAAATCCCCGATACCTTTTTAATGTGCTTTAAAATGTTCGAATGATTTTCATCATTTAAAATCACCTTGGAAAGCCTATCTTTTAAATCTCGACACAAATCATTCTCACTTTGCTAATATCTCGAATGATTGAGACGACCAATTTCCAAAAAACAATTAGAGATTTTTAATCATTTTCGAATAATTGAATTAAGATCTGAAGATATATAGTAGGCCTATTGTCGGATTCCATCGTGTACCGTGCAATACAATACGTACAGATTAAAGAAACTAGTTTGATCAATTGATATAAAGAAACGCATTCGTGATCAATGAAACAAATAAATACACCCAAATCAACCAGGTCAAATCGAGGTCAACTTGACTTAGGGGATGCCAAAAAATGTTATAAAACAAGAATCTATTATTTGTCAAATGAAAAAAAACTAGGTTATCGCTTTTCTAGAACTGAAATCAATGGAACGTGTAATTGAATAATCAGCATTTTCAAGTTGTTTTTGTCTTTAACATCCATATTTCAAAAAGTACTACCAATAACAATTAGTGATTTAGTAAGAAAATAGATAATTGTTGACTTAACTATAATTTCGTGTCTATGATTTTGCATAGCAACGGAATATAAATCGATAGTGAATTGAAAAATTGGAGTAGGGGAGAATAAAAAAAATATACATCTAAATTTAAAGAGGTTCATCATTATAATTATATGCTACCATAGTTAGCATAAGCATTACGGAAAATGCAGAAAAAATGTCAAAGGTATTCATCAAGTAGTTTTTGAAAAAAACAGCTTTCCTCTCAAATTCGTGAAGAGAACGCGATTCACGAATATTTGGCGAAATTGTATTTATAAGACAGTCAATAGTGGCTCGATTTTCATGAAATAAAGCATGTTGGTAAGGGAATTCAATCTGTTAAATGATATTTGCCAGACAGACCAATAATGATATGGTATCCACAAAACATTTCTTTAGGCTAGTGTGCTCGAGATTACTTTTACAATTTAAACAATGAGAAAATATGACTAAAGAACATAGGAAAGTTAAAAAGTCTTTTTTATTCTCATTTTTCAACACTACGCACTGGCGTTTTGGCGTACATTGTTCCTACGCCACTGGTATGCATAGTTCAAGCCAACTTAGATTTATTCAGTGTATAGTTTGAAAAACACCTTTTGATTTTAAATCTGATGTTATATGGCACTATTTCCTTGACAGGGCCGTCAGATGGGGGGGTGCGATGGGTGCGACCGCACCCCCCTTTGTCACCCCCCAAAATAAATTTGAAAAAATTCAAAAAAATTTTTTTTGAAAAATATATTTTTTTTTTGTTTTTTTCATTGACTCATACACTTTGAAAGTACCCAGAAAGCACCAAATAGCATCTTAAAATTGTAAAATTTTCTAGGGGTATTGGCCACCCCTTACACCCCCCACAAAACAATGGAAAAGTTCTAAATTTATTTTAGTGTTTTGTCTCAGGGCTCTCAGACACTTTTAAAGTGCCTAGACATCATCAAATAGCTCCTTGATATTGTTAGTGTTTTTGGGGGACTTGCTCCCCCTCTTGCATCTTGCACTTGCATCCCCCCTCTGGCGCCCCCCCCCTTGCCCCCCCCCCAAAAAAAATTGTGATTTTCTCAAATTATTTAATTGACTCATACACTTTGAAAGTGCCCAGAAAGCACCAAATAGCGTCGTAAAATTGTAAAATTTTCTAGGGGGAGTGGGCCACCCCTCACACCCCAAACAAAACAATGGAAAAGTTCTGAATTTGTTTTATGTATTGTCTCAGACACTTTTAAATTGCCCAGACATCATCAAATAGCTCCTTGATAAAGTTAATGATTCTGGAAGGCTAACACTTACTCGCCCTCTGGCATCCCCACTCCACCTCCCCCTCTGGTAGCACCCCCCCCCCTTAACACCCCCCCCCCCAAAAAAAATGGGGGACAAACACTTGCTCCCCCTCTGGCACCCCAGCCCCACCTCCCCCTCTGGCACCCCTCCCCCCCCTTTGACACCCCCAAAATTTGAAAAAAATTGTGATTGTTTTTCAATGTTTTTATTGACTAATACACTTTAAAAGTACCCAGACGCACCAAATATCATCTTTAAATTGTAAAATTTTCTAGGAGAGTTAGCCACCCCTCACATCCCCCACAAACAAAAGAAAATATTCTGAATTTCATGTATTGTCTCAGACATTTTTTAAGTGCCTAGACATCATCAAATACAAATAGCACCTTGATATGGTCAATGTTTCTTGGGGACAACCCCTTGTTCCCCTACTGGCACCCCACCCCACTTCACCCTCTCATCCTCTTTGACACCCCAAAACAATTGGAAAAAAATCCACATTTTTCTTATTGACTCATAACGCACAGGCGTACCAGATGGTTGCAAATTCGCTCCAAATACAACAAAATTTCAAATTTTTCCTGGGGGAGAACCACCAGACCCCCCTGAATGCTCGGTTTTTTATTCACTCAACTCTTATTCCCGTGGTGGTGGCGTACTACTTAGAAACTTACACTTTGAAAGTACCCAGAAAGCACCAAATATCAAAACTGTAAAATTTTCTAGGGGGAGTGGACCACTCCTCACACCCCCACAAAACAATTAGAACGTTTGAAAGTTGCATTTGTTAATTCCAAACCAATATAGGGAGTAACTGACCCCCCCCCCCCCCCTTCTGTCTTACGCAATTTGATTTACGCGGCAAAAAAATTGACAATTTTATATTCTCTTTAGTAAGCTCAAAACCGCACCCCCCTTGGAGAAAAGTGTCTTACGGGCCTGCTTGATATTGTTGACTTGTTTCACATGATACTTACTTGGCCCTTAGACTCAGGACTCATAGGTGTACTGACATTTTCTCAACCAATCATTTAGTACTCGGAAGTGAACGCAATAATGTTTTAAGATGGTCAGTCCTAGGTCAATAATGATGTCCGCGGAAATGACCATAAATAGAAAATTGTCCGGTTGCCGACAATCTCTGGTTGGTTCAATGAAGCTTTAAATCAGTATTAAATTTTATGTGATCTAGACAAAGCACAGAACACATCAGCAGCAAAGGGCTTTGATGTGTTGGAGACAGGAAGTATACTACTACTAGGTAACCTAAGAGATGTGCTATAAGCATGCTAGACCACCCTTGGTATACGCAGCTAACGAAAATTGACCGGTATGGGTCAAAAGCTGGACCGGTACGGGTTAACGGTTTTATTTGAATTTAAAACAGCCATAACTTGCTCAATATTAACTTCCTCGTGTCTAATTTGAAATATATGATGCCTCCCGATGCTTTTAAGTACCCCAATTTTTTACAGATTTTTAAACAGACCAAAACTCTCTAAATGCGCATTTATGCTCTTTTCTCTCGAGAACGACTGTCTCATTTTCACGATAACTTTTATTTAGTACTTCTAACATATAAGATCTATTTTTCCCCATCAAGGTATGATGTAAATGACATGCTATTTACATCTTGTGAGTTTCAATGACGCGCGTTTGATTTTATAAAAAATGCCAAACTTTGTGACAAAGAATTTCATCAGCTATTGTCCCGAACCGGTCCGTCTTCTTGCTGCAAGCAGATTGCCCCGAACCGGTCCCTCTTCTCGCTGCAAGCAGGAAGAAATGTAGGGTGTAGATGTTTGCCTGGAATGGAAATGTTGTTTATGTTTTGGTATGGAAACACTGTGTTGTTTACCCTGTATCCCTATTGGCAAACCATACTACCCTCTGACTTTTAGAGATGATTTACAGTTATGATGCTGATTACCTCACATTTCTATCTCAGCTGTAATGGTCTTTTATGTGATGTTGAAACTGTTGTGATTTCTCTACAACGTCCAATTGGATATAGGCTAGGACTGAGAATTATCTATAATTTAAAGAATGTAGTCAAAGGGTCTAGTTCCTATGAAGGTTATGTATGTCAATGGCATACAGGACATGTCAGCATTTGATATTGCAGCAACTCAAAGGGGTTGTTGAGAGGTTAATGTTGACATGCACTGTACTGGATAATTCTGGGTATTACATCATGTTTTTATGTGGCATAATTTGGACATATTCTAAATGATAAATATTTCTTTTTAGTGTTTACGCATGTTTACTGTTGTAAGGTAGTTATGTGAGACCTACAATTTTTGTTTTGGAGCATGATTTTTTTAATGTTTTAGGAATCGTTATGAATGTATTTCGTATTTTTTTACACATGTAATTGGTGTCTTTTATATACGCTTATGCCACAAGCAATATTTATATGTGCTTATGACACAACCAAATTCAGATATTGGTCGAGTATCACAATTCAAGTGATAATTGCCTCCAATCAAAGCTTAGGTAGATAAATTGCTGTTCACTGCCTGAATTAGTTTTACCTTCTGACTTCTCTGTGGTATACTGTACAGCTTGTATCTCATGTACATGGGAGGTTTCTATAGAAATTTTCATGCATCTTAAGAAATAATCTAATATTTTATTTGAGATAAAACCAAATTCCATGGTCTCATTATGCTCTAGTTTTGGTCAATCAGAAAATTGAATACCCATCACTGGGGTTTCACTAGAATTTCTCACAGCAGGCTTATTAAATGAAAACAACTGGCAAAATTAATGGAAATTATGAATTAAACATGGAAAAGTTGAAAAGTCCCTAAAAACAATAGGCAATTTTGTGAAAACAACTGTTGAAAATCGCTTGTTGTCTGCTGCTAATGAAACCCCTGCATCAAAATTCAAAATCTATTCCCTTTCAAAAAGTACCCAGTACTTAAGATAACATCTCTGTATAGAAACTGCTTGTACTTGTATTTACTTAAGTTTTTTGCATGGGTGATGGAAGCTTATGTCATGTCTTAATACCTATATTCAAGATCCACCCCCTTCAAGCCATTCAGATTTTGCACAGTTTTTAAATACTCATCACCTCAAGGTTGAACATGTTCAATATATAAACAAAAGAACAAAATGATATTTCAGCTCACTGGTGAGCATTATTTCTAGTATGACATGCATAATTGAGGAATGGCTTTACTGAGGTGATATCTACTGCTTCTACTATATTCATTTATATCTGTCAAGTCTCATCAAAATACCCTCAACATTTTATACATGTTTAATTCCTTTTCAATTACAGAATATTGATTTATTCAATTTTGATGGGACTTGACATACTTACCTGTAATTTATTGAATAGTGTATTCTTATATTCTTACTGTAAATTGTTGTTTGAGTTATTTTTAAATATACACGTATGTCACTTAAATCTCAAGTTTATGGATTAATTATTACTTTTTAACATTTAACAAATATTGAGACTTTCATTTTATTAATACATCTGTGAATAATTAACCCTTGAAATCATAAAATATAGGGCAGCATTAAAAAACAAAAGATAATCCATAGCATTATATAACATCAAAATAAATTTGAATTGAATGCATTTCAGATGAAGAGGCTAATGTTGGAGTGGAAAAGACACTTAACCTAGCTGAAAATCTAGCTCAACAGTTTGCAGATTCTACCTGGAATCAAAAGTATGTTTTTTTATTTCCTTGTCATTTAGTAAACATTCCTCTAAATTCCATCAGCTAACCACACCACCCACTAGCGGATCAAGGGGGGGGGCCTTCTGTGGGCCCAGAAAAAAGTTTTGGGCCTTTTTAGGCTAAATTATCAAAAAATGGGCCTTAAGTTTTCTAGGGGCCCAAAATTTATTTCCACGCAAGTACTGAAAATTTTATCCCTACTCAAAATTAGCCTCCCTCTTGTTAGCTTCTGGATCCGCCAGTGCCACCCTCTCACTATTGTACATTATTTTGATATTTTAATGCTGATAAGATCAATGGGCTTAGATTAATGGGAATGCTTCTAAGGAATGTGAAATGAGTGGTAGCTACTTATACAAAATAAAGAATGGTAGCTCCTTATACAAAATTAAGAATGGAAGCTACTTGTACAAAATTAAGAATGGTAGCTACTTGAACAAAATAAAGAATGGTAGCTACTTATACATTATAATATCATGGTATAATATCATACTTATACATAACCCAGTTACTCTGAAAATATTGTGGAACAAATGGTAAACTTGTTAGTTAAAACCAGAACCTCTGGATTGACCCTTGTAGACAGAAAATGTAGTGTCACAGACTGGATGTAGCCTAGATTAGATCTCTAATTTCTTGCAAGGGTAAATCCACTTTGGTTTCAATCCATTGTTGTTTTCCATGTGTAATAAAATATGCTCACCCTAACACATGTAAATGAATGATGCAATTTGTCAACTGTAGGCTACATGAGGAACTTGCTCCAATCTATAAGGAATTCCAGTCCATGAATGTAGTAGGAACTGCTATGGGACAAGGGGGAGAATATGCAACAGGCTTCCTGACTCAGGTACAACTACTTTTGTAGTTTCTGGTATAGATTAAGATTGAGCAAACAGTGGATTTTTTTAAGGTACTATAAGATTATCTAAATGAAAGTTGAAGGATTGTACATTATACACAAATGAATACATTAATCGAGGTTGGCAAAATAAATTCATTCAAGTACGAGGGGTGATCAATAAGTAATGGACGCTTTTTTACACAGATACTTTTATAGACCAATCCCTTTGATTTTTCTACCAGTGATACGTCATTCAATTATCTATCAATTCTGAAGATTTGAAGACAAAATATGTAATATATGTTGATATATCCTTATTTCCGTGAAGGAGGTACAGGTACCCCGGGACCGACATTTACGTCACATATTCAGTTTTTAGCCAGTTTGGCAAATTTCAGTTAGATTTGAACTTTTTATATGCAACAAGTGTTGTGTTGTTTGACATTTTTTGCTGACTGGTAACACATAAACAGAAAGTATTGTGATGTCAGAGTGTTGTATGGAAGGGGTTTGCAGGTCAATTTGAGAAAGCATTGTGGAAGAAAGGGGTGGTGAGAGAAGGGAACACCCTACTCCATATGGACAATGCACCTGCCCACAGATCTCAAAATGTTCAGAAAACAATATCCCTGGACCTCAAAATTGAGTTCTTGGCCAATGCACTATATTGTGCAGATCTGCTCACATGTGACTTATTTATTTCTATACTACTTATTTCTATAGAGAAAGGATGCAGGTTTATTGCCATTGATGAAATAAAACAACCCATGCAACTGCATCTTGCTACCATGTCAGAGAATGGATTCAGCCTTGTCTCACAATCTTGAGTTAAGAGGATGAGTAATTGTGTACATGTAGCACTTGATGGAACCTATGTAGAGGGACCTGTGGAATGAATGTGGCATGAATACCACATAGTGATGATAAAATATTCAAAATCAACTATGACATAACAACAAAATGGGGTAATTCCTGACCATAATGGTTTGTTTTGTTCAGCCTGCATTCAACTGCATTGCATGTTAAACAAGCTAAAATAGCTTCAGAATGTTTGACGTAAATGTCGGTCCCGGGGTACCTACACATCCTTCATGGAAATAAAGATATATCAAAATGTATTACATACCTAGCGAAGCATTTGTATGGAGGTCAATGGGAAAGTTAGCGAGCTATATCCACCGATATTGCCCGATTACCCCGATATAGCCCGCTTACCTCGTTTTGATATTAGATTTCTTTAATAACCATGATAATATCATGACGTCACGTCATTGATACAAAGTAACCATGGGAACAAAGGCATGTAATACATCAGTTATGTCACTATGACGTGAAATATGCCTTCGTTCTTGCCCAAATATAGAGCCTCCCAAGGTCGGCCTATATTGGGAGAACTCAGGCATATTTCACGTCATAGTGACATAACCTCTAAATATTACATGTTTTGTTTTCAAATCTTCAGAGTTGATAGATAATTGAATGACGTATCACTGGTAAGAAAATCAAAGGGATTGGTCTATAAAAAGCATCTGTGTAAAAAAGCGTCCATTACTTATTGATCACCCCTCGTATGTGGTCCAATTTGTGTATAATGTTTTTATACTCCAGTGAGTATAGCCTATGTGAAATATTAATTTGCCACACCATAATGGCCTAGTCACATAGCCCGGCCGATGTCCGGCATCGGTAGAGCTCGGTGGATTTTTTTGGTGCTACCGAGCTCTCCTCATCGGAAGCAGAGCTCGGTGACGTGAACGGACTCCGTCCGGACATCTTCAGGTACTATAGTTTCCAAGGCTCTGTCCCACATCGGCCGGAGCTCGGTCGGAGCTCGGCCGGTGTCCGTTAAAAAAACCTTGTCCTCTGGTTGTCTCAGATGCACGGGACACCGACCGATACTCGGCCATGCACCGGCCGACGTGTGTTCTGATGTGGTTACGATGGGGCTGCGATGAGGGAGCTCGCTGAGAGCCCGGTGAAATTTAACTCCAAAGTTAAAATTTCACCGAGCTGCCACCGATGCGGCTTTAAGCAACAAACGCCACGGATGTCCGGCCAGTGTCCGGCCGGTGTTCGGCCGAGTTCGGTGAAAATTGCATTGCTGGCTCATCGGAACCTCATCGGCCGGGCTATGTGACTAGGCCATAAGTATCCATAGACTCTATAAGAATAATAATACATATGTACATTTTATGTATTTATTTTCAGCTTGGTATAGTATCAGTTAGAGCTTTGAAGAACATATGGAGAAATCCACAGACATCAATTATGCAGGTAGGTTGTCAAATTTAAACTTAAGTTATAATATCATCTAACTCTATAACTAGATTCAGGCTGAAATTATTGGCACGGTACTGTTCTAAAGATCAGATCAATGCAAGAGAGAGGAAGGCATCTGAATGGCCATTTAGACAAAGAATGCATATTTTTAAAGAATGTTCCTTGGTATCTAGAAGGTTGAAAAGGATCAAAACCCTTCAGAATGTACAATTTTCCACAAATTGTATTTTCTCACGTACTGTTAGTCAACTTCATTTGGCGACCAATTTAATTTGATGATTCATGTCATTTTCTGAAGGAAATAGAGTGTAAAATGCATGTTGATTCAATTTACCATCGCCACATTGGCTTCCTTTTTCAATTTTTTATCCACTTGGCTTATGTTACATTCAAATGGCAACTGTTAAGACTGGTTTCACAGCCATTTAGAGAGCATCTCAAAAATTCAATGTAGGATTTATTAACTGTAATTGCACAGTTAATATGTGACCCCCTCCCCCCTCATAACTGTGTTTGAGAAATGTTGATATGCGTTGTCTATATCTAACATAACATGTAATATAGTCATTTCCTTAACTATTCAAATCTGTATTTCTGTACATTATCAGAAGTAGGTTTAATACTGGACAAGGTTATCTTGACTTGTGAATTCAGTATCACTGTTGAAAACAAATAAATAGCCACCCATTTTTTTGTATAATTTTACTTTTGTTGTGTACATGTTTTTAATTTTTGTATCAGAAGTGCACTGGACAAAAAGAGCATGCAACTAAGAAAATTCCCGGGATCGATGTCGGAACACTTACTTTTAAGACCAATGACTCCCTCCCTAACTTTGCAAATACAATTCATTTTCCGATATCGATGTTTTGAAATGCTCCCTTATTCTTGCTCGATTCGCCAAATTAAATCTCTGCCAATTTTCCATTTTTGCCCAATTCACCAAGTTAAATCGCGCCAAATTGAGTTGACTAACAGTATATCATATAAAGTAAGGACATTGATTATACCTGGCTAATACTAAAATGCCTGTATTTTGTTTCAGCTCTTTGTGATGCTTTTCTTTGGCGTTATTGTTGGAATCATTTATTTCCAACTAGACTTGTCTCTCACATCTGGCATACAAAACAGGTAATTTATATTAAAGACTGACAATTTTTATTTAGATTATGTATTTCCGTTAGATAATGCTGAAATGGTGATATAGGGAAAAGATGGAAGGAATATCTGTGAGAGAGGTGTAGTTGCACTTAACTTGATGTCTCGGAATTTGATTGTTCATAAAATTGTATTCCTTCGTTTTACAGTTTTGCAATCGCTTGTAAAATGTTTGAATTTATTGATAAAAATTCCACTTTATTAATTAATATTCCACTTCCTATTATGATAACTAGTTTATATTTTTAGTATGTTTTTGCAGAGTTGGTGCTTTCTTCTTCATCGCAATGAACATGATGTTTGGGAACTTGTCTGCAGTGGAGCTCTTCATAAAGGAGAGGGCGATATTTGTGTAAGTATGGGAAAGCATATTTTAAAAGTGTTAAATTGTTAGCATAATATTATTCATAATACCATTTTGTGTGATAAAATAAAAAGAGGATATCCTATGATTTATGAGTGATATGATTTTTATCCACGAATGGATATGATATCTGCACGAGCGAGCGTAGTGAGAGAGTGCAGATATCAATATCCATGAGTGGATTAAAATCATATCATGAGTAAATCATAGGACGTTCTTTTTATCCCATAGTTAAAGTCATCATCAGAATCGTCGGAAATTAAGCGATTTAATTCGAATTTTCCAAACGATCCGTCTAAGCCTCGTTTTGAGTCTGAAGTAGCAAAAATCCATAATTCATAGCTATGGCGCCATAGGCGCCGTATGTCATGGCTTAAACACTGTATGCTATGGTTAAGTGAAAATTTGTCAAAAATATCATATTTTACCACTGATTACAAAAATACCGTTTTTTATTTTCACATGTAATCCTATGAATATCATGCTAACTATGGAATAAATAAACTTAAACACTCACCTGCCAGTGTCTACTTTCTACTTAAACTAAATGAGCTCTAATATCCAGTATAATTAGCTGTGTTTATGGAATAGGAAGGTTAATATGATGTGCGTGTACCTTTTATATTTGTTCTTCCCCTTTTGGTGATTCTTAAATAAATTGATGGTCAATATTTTTCTTTATCGTATGATCTGCAAAATGAAGTCCTCCAATTGGTCAGTTCTTGTGCTATACCAATCTGTATTCCTTCTGAGATTGTCCCCTCAACTTGTATTGGAACAGATTGATCATCTCTGTAGCAGTACAAAAAATATTGATACAGAGGGGACAATCTCGGAGCAAGTCAGAATATTTCCAATGGACTATCTCCGTAAGGCCTAAGTAAAATGTATTGGCCTAATACGATCACATGATAAAAACCTTATAAAATAATTTGAAGTGCAATACAGGACATATTAAGCGCGCGATATCTTAATATTGGTACTTAACTTCATCTTGTGCTAATACAGTATTTCTCCAGAGCAATATATACATGTACTATATTGCACTTCAAATCATTCAATAACCTATAACATCATCCTGGAAATATTATCTCAGAACTCATTTGCTCTCGAGTATTCTACCCCTAACCTATATATAAGAAAATACAAGCATATGAGATTTTGAATTGGGAATACAATTAATCGATTAATCGATTCTATTCATGCGTTTCAGCCATGAAAGTGCCAGTGGGTTCTATAGGGTGTCAGCATATTTCCTCGCTAAACTTCTCTGTGACATCATACCTATGAGGCTCCTCCCAGTTATAGGATTCTCAGTGGTGACATATTGGATGATAGGTTGGTGCATGAGAACATGTTTTGCAAAAAACGCTTCTCTAGTTTTGTTGAGTTGATATTTGTAGAATCATCGATGGAAAATATTTAGGTGAATTGAAATATGATAATTTTGTGACAAGAATTTCTTCAATCAACCACTTATAATAAACATTATACATTCTCATTTTATAATTATTTATAAATAAAATTTTATACTTTCAGGATTTGTCCCAGCTGCAGACAAATTTTTCTTCTTCATCCTTAATTTGTTCTTGATTACACTATCTGCATCGGGGTTAGCTTTCTTCTTGAGCTCCAGTGTCAGTGTGTTTGCCATTGCTAACCTGCTCATAGCCCTGTGCTTCGTCTTCATGATGGTATGTATAATAGTTTTCAGTGCAGTGGCTTGCTCACTTAGGTGTTCAGTACCCACCTAAGCAACTTGACCTCAATTTGATTTTACCAGGTATTCAGTGCCATCGTAGTCGCTTGACCTCAATTTGATATGTATTTACCAGGGGTTCAGTACTGTCCTTGTCAGTTTGACCTCAAATTGATATTTATTTACCAGGTGTTCAGTGGTCTCCTAGTCAGATTGACCTCAATTTGATATTTATTTACCAGGTGTTCAGTGGTCTCCTAGTCAGATTGACATCAATTTGATATTTATTTACCAGGTGTTCAGTGGTCTCCTAGTCAACCTTACCTCAATTGCTGAGTGGCTACAATGGATCAAGTACTTAAGCATCATTAGATATGGACTATCTGTAAGTATTATGTCTGTTGTATTCTTGTTGTACAATTTCCCATATGCAGTAAAGCACACCAAGATAACAAGCCCATATACATTAGTGAGGCAGGTACAATGTGGTCAAAAAATGGAAACCCTGCATTTTCTTCATATCTTTAACACTAAAAAATCACTCCCTGATATTTCAAACATATGTACATCATTCAATTTCCTACCACCCTACCATATTTCATGACCATCAGACTGATAGTCACAATTTTACAGCACTTTGAATAACATGCTTAAGATTTGGCCATCATCGCGCTGTAGGCAAAACAGCACAGTTGTCAATGACCCGAATGCATTCCTCAGCAGGTATGGCCTGAATGACACGAATGATCTCACATTTGAGGTTTGCAATTGTCCTGAGGTCATTCTCATATACTCTATCTCTGCCATATCCCCACAGGTCAGGACATTTTAGACGATGAGTACAGGTTTCCAGACAGCACAATAGTGGCCACTGGGGCATGTTCTTTAAAGTACTGTAACATTGTGACTATCAATCTGATGGTCATGATATAAAGTAGGCTTGTAGCAAAATGAATGATGTATACAAGCGTAAAATATCAGGGAGTTATTTTTTAAAATGACATAGATATGGGGAAAATGGTATTAGGGTTTCCATTTTTTACCACCCTGTACTTCCATAGTTATTGATTCATCTCGCTGTGAGGTTTCACAAATTGTCTTGGGGATTGTGTTTGGCATTTTAAACTATCACTATTCAGCTATTAGATTAAATGTAATATTTTTGAATAATTCAATGAAGTACTGTTTTTACCTTACTTTGGTCAAACTATGAAGACTTCATTCCATTTTTGTCATGTATTGAATTGTTGAATTATGTCCTCGTTTTGCATCAGAGGGGTGTGACTGAATGAAACCATATTAACCAGTCATTATGTTGTCTTACAGGCCTTGCAAATCAATGAGCTAAAGGACCTGACATTCTGCAGCACCAATGCTTTTAATGTAACTCAGTGGTAAGTAAGAAAGGAGTTGTAAAGCCCATTATTATTTATAAATTTTGGAAGTATAAAAGTTTTTTAACTCCAACTTGAAAATGTTAGTTTGTTGAGCTCTATGTATTTACTCATCATCATGTTTTACTAGTTTTTGCTATTTTTTAGTTCCAATGGCACAGACTATCTGGATTCTCAGGGTGTTGCGTATAGTACACCATGGGACCTCTGGGTTAATGAGGTGGCCATGGGATCAATGGCTGTCATCTTTTTAAGTTTGACATATGTCCAGCTACGCCGCATCAACAAATTGAAGTAAATAAAGAGAGACTTTATGAATGTACTGTACATTCTGAAATAAAGATTTAGAAACAAGAATTACTTCAAATGAACAAACAGAACAAACAAACATAGAGATAAACATGAGTCAACATACTGAGGTGAATATCCAAGAAATTGAGATTCATTGGTCAGTAGACTGAAGCAAATATCCAAGAAAGAGAAATTCCTTGGTCAATAGACTGAAGCAAATATTCAGGAAAGAGAAATTTGTCTGTCAGTAGACTGAAGCAAATATCCAATAAAGAGATTCCTTGGTCAATAGACTGAAGCAAATATCCGATAAAGAGAGATTCATTGGTCAATAGACTAAAAAAGAAATTCATTCATAGACTGAAGCAAATATCCGATAAAGAAAGAATATGTTGAATAAAACACTTCATTATTCATTAAATCTACTCTCAGAATAATTGTAAGGATCAACTTATTAGCATCTTAAAAACCAAGCTCTTAACAGAAGTGTTTCATTTACACATATTTTATGTTTGTGAGAAAAAAGTTACAGACTTCAACTTATATAATTGTAATATCTATGTAATACATGGTTATAAATACATGTAGCATAGTATTTCATATATTATGATTCAGGGAACATGACCACATGGCTTATGTCATAAGTTAAGTAGATTCTTATTGATTTCATATACGCACAATTATGGTATCTTACTAAAGCAATGAGCTTGAAACTGTAAGGTTTATTTATTCTGCACTGATTGTAACAAAATTATATTTTTATAATCAAGTTTTAACCCCAAAAATATATTATATATTCTTGATGTATATATACTAAGGGTAATATATTATTTTGCTAGTATATCTGATACCAGTGATTCTCAATTAATATTTTAATAGTAAGTAATCAAAGAGAAACTATGCAAATTGTTTAAATGGATAAGTAGAGAATCAACAAATGATTTCAATGAAGAAGTAGTAATTTTTGCTTGGTTATCAAAGCTTTTCACCAATTTTTAAATGCATTGTCTACTTTTGCATTTTTACAATGATCAGTGTGTGTATGTATATGATGGCTATTTGGATATGCTAATTATTTTAATGTACCTAAGTTAGGTAAGATACTGTCATAATTTTCTGGGATGTTTCTTGGTATAAGAATCTGTGATTAGATTTTGGGACATCTTGGATAAATTTTAAGGTGGACATTTTTGGTTTTAGGTGCGATATTGTTCACCATGTGCCTTCTTGATATTCCATCTGCTTGTGCAATATGTAAACAAAATATTATATTAATGGTGGTACTTTCGAGTTTTCAAATTAAGGCCCTTACAAATTAAATGTCTGTTTAGCAGTGTCTGACTGATCGCTGTATAATCTTTCTAGTCTAACCCTATTTTGTGAAGAATATTGTATATTGATAATAGTAAATTCATGAACCATGATTTAGGCAGTGCAATCACCTTAAGAAATTCATTTTGACATCTTACTGCCAAATTAAAATCCTGCTTAACAGACAATTAACTTTCAGGAGCCTAACTGAATTTTAATCTATGGCATAAGTCATACTTATGAAAGTTATATGAATCTTTAGTAATGACTGTCTTCCATCTTTACTTTAAATTAATGTAGTTTTGGCATTTGAATATTTTCGATGTAGTTTTGGCATTTGAATATTATTGTTTGGCAACTGATATTGAAGTGGATATGACAGAAATTGTATCTGTACATGTACATTTTTGAAAACTCCTAAGTACACATTTCCAAGTGAAAGTGCAGTGACCATATGCTTTTATTTACTGCTATTTATTTTATGTCCAGTGCTTTTATAGATCAAATCATGATTGCTGCAACCATTGCATCATGGGTGATTTCTGCTGGTTTATCTTGCCTGTTACCCATAATCTAAAAAATGTGTAATTCAAATCTGTAAAAAAGCCTTAAAATACGATATTCTACTTAGAAAAATGCTTTTGGGAAACGGGGAGTATTTATTGATAGACTAGTATGTCAATTTCTCGGCTATATATTTCTGATACATATGATTGCTATTATTCAAGAACATCAACATTTTGTATTTGTCCCTAGAAATATGCAATGTTGTATGTATTTTACACATTAAATTTCTTCCCAAAACTCCATTTGAGAATTGAGATAGGTCATAAGTGAAATCATATTTTACATTGTGCTTTTAAGTTCTGCTATTATTCTTGCCTAGTATGTATATGGGTATATACCATGAGTGAAAAGTCTAGTGCTTTTAGACAAAGCTGTCTCAGTGAAGCCAAAACAAGTGCAAATGATAAAGTAATGGGTATATAGATTACAGTATAGAGGGTAGACCTGGTTATAGATAGTATACAAAATGTACATATTTAAGAAACTGAATCAGTTTTTTTAAATAAACTATTTATTCAGTCAAGGTACATTCCATTTTCCATAAGCCAGAAATAAAGTTATGTTTTTGTGACATAATAGTAAAATCACAAGAAAAGAGATCTTATGTTATCAATTCCAATAAGAATGTCAGCTAGAAGAGCTGCTTGAATCTTTGAAACAAATATATCATTTTCGAAAATTTTACCTACATAGTTAACAAAGTGTATTGTTGAATTTTTTGAAGTTAATTGGGGCATACAAAGTTAAAAACAATAAAAAAGGTATGCAATGAGACCTATTTTCTTGTGACACAGCTCATACAATCATAACCAAACCCATCTGGCCCAGTTATGTACTCTCTGATGTCGTAGTCTGGACATTTCAGATTCATGGAGTAGATAACTGGGCCAGAGAGGTTTAATTAAAACAATCATTAATGTGATAAGTTTGTACTTCTGTACATATTTGCATATACAGTACCATGTTCATATACAACATTTTGTACTATGTGTTATTTTACTCTTGAAATAAAAATCTTAAAAAATCAATTTGTGTTAAAGGTTTGTTATACATGAGAAGCTTGGATTGGAGTTCAGGTATATTCACCTTATTACATCACAATAACTGAAGGCACCAAGTGTGTTTCTCACCCACTATATTCTAAAAATAAGGCAATTCAAAGCCAAATACATGTTTACCATCCCCTGTCCCCAAGATTGAAGCAAACAAACAATCGTATTATACAGACATCCAAATAGTGAAGGGAATTCCTAATTTCTTCATCAAAAAAGTATGTGTATTTAAAGGGTGTATCATTCTGTGTTACTCTATGCTGTATGCATTCTTCTGACCAATAGAAACTAAGCTATACTATAGATAAATGTTTTTGTCTTTTTTCACCTGGACACTCCTTAAACTTGACCCCTCAACAGGCAGGATGTTAGGGAGCATCTTAAAAGTTCAATGTTGGATTATTAACTGCATTTGCACATTTAATCTGTGAACCCCCTCCTCCCCCTCATAACTGTATTTGAGAAATGTTGATTTCATTGGTCATACTATATATTATAATTATTCAATGTCGGTAACCTAACTTTTAAGGCTATGAACACCCTCCCCCTAACTGTGCAAATACAGTTAATTTTCTGACATTGATCTTTTGAAATGCTCCCTTAGACATTTTAAATTGTTTGCTAATGAGGATCACTAGCAGGATTCTAGAATCAGAACTTCAAATAGGAAAAGTACAGCAAGAGTAAACAATGCAAATACATTACATAAAGATGATCTTAAAAATAGTCAAGAACATATTCAAACAAAATCAATCCTTTGGTTCATATATTATATTTCAATTTTATTATTATAATATATTATTTTCATATGGTACATAAATATATACATTTTCAATGCAATCTATCACAATAAAATATTTGTATTGAATGCAATTTTGGGTAGATATAAAATGATTTCCATTTTTCTTTTTTATTCATCCTTACTTTTAAATAAAATAAAATGAAGTGCGTACATTTTGATTAGAGAGACAGTAGCCAAGCTTAAGTCCATGTAAATCTGAGTGATCCTGCATCCATATCCACCTTAACTTTCAAATCGAGAGAAATTCCATCTTATGTGTTCAACTCAAATCTATTCATGTTGAATGTAAATGGTAAGTCAGTTTAAGGTCTGCTAAAATCATAACAAACTGTCAGAGCAAACAATGACAGATAGTGTCTGTTTTGGTGTACATTGCCCACGTGGAAGATGTTGCTGAAGTTTGTGGCAGACATGTTGTTTCAATCCAAGAAGAAGATGTTGTTGAAATTAGTTGCACATAGTCTCTTTACTTCCTCTGGAATTGCATTTAACAAAAAGTGAGCAAAAATAGACCCTCAAAACATTTTTCATTATCAAGATGTTTTCTAATTTTTGAGATAACCTTTAACAAAAAGTGAGCAAAAATAGACCCCCAAAACATTTTTCATTATCAAGATGTTTTCTAGATAACCTTCAAATATGAGTTCTGTGAAAATAATTAATAATACAGATATGATATAATACTCTACTAAATCCAGTTATCATTCTCACCATTGATTTCTATAAGATTGGCATTTTTCTGGTTTATGACGACATAGAATTCTCGTTGGTCAGATTTTTTTCCTACGACCCAGCAGTCTGTGATTGATTTAACAATCGTCTCACCTTCATCAACATTCCTGCAAAATAAACATTTTATTTATTTGTGAATTTCATAAATTACATTATCATCATGTACAGGTATTCTTAGGTCTAGTTCAAGACTTGTGAAGCAACTCTTAAATGATTAGTAAACCCAAATATTTTCTCTTAGAGTAAAAGGTAATGCAGAAATCCCTCTGCTGATTCTTGATTCTTGCTGCACATTTTTGGAGTTGTAAAATAGTTTTTAAAAGAATATGATCCTGTCCCTAGCCTCTCTGAGCTTACTCGGATTTAGAATGAAATAACTTTTGATTTTCTTTTAGAAGATACCCTGAAGTGTAGGAATCCATAAGTTATTTTTTCAGGTTTGGGTAAAATCAATTTTTATGGCAGGTTATAGTGGCGCCATCTAGTGATTTTAAAGTTGCAGGGTGATAATCTTAATTAATTTTTTTTTCAGCCAAACCTAATTTCATATTTATTTTTTTGCTGTTTCCTTAGAGACTACTTCCTAAACTATGCATTTGAATTTTTAGGTGATCCTGGAATGTCATTTGATGGGTCATTTTGCCTCAAATATACAGAAGCGCCACCTATAATCAAAGGTCTACCTTATAAAGTTTATTATTCTGAGGCTGTTATGGTAGATAAAATTGTTATTATTGGTGTAATAATTAGAACCATAAAGGGGACATATGATGCAGTATCAAATTAATATATGTGGGACATGGGAACTTAGAAAATTTTTTTTTGTAAAAGTGGAAGAAATTTGACAAAATATCAGTTTTTACATATTACCAAATACATATGCTTTTTATTTCTAAGGTAAACCTAACATGATGTAACAAGTAGAAAAATATATATTTAGACAAGTTAAGCTTATGGTTGACAATTACGGTTATTAATGAATACATTGTAGACAGAATGAAACCATGCATAAAAGGCGCCATCTATAGAAAATATATTTTTCTATAAGTTTCATTTGTTTGTAAATCATGTATGATTTTTGAAGGCAAAGTAAGAAACATAGAGAACAATGACAAAATTGAAAGCAAAATGCGCTTTTAGCCTCCCCAAGTCTTCCTGACCATTTCAAATATTGTACCTCCTAATAGATACATGCTATTTTATGTACACTAACTATAAAGGATACTATCAAAATATAGATAAATTTCATCCAAAATACTTGAGAGTTGGTGAGTTAACGTAACTTTGGATGATCTTTCCAATGGTATATCATACTAGGTACCATCTATTAAGGTCTTGGCTGTAGAGGGGGGGGGGGGGACGGGACTTATTTGACACACTGAATAAGTACTTTTAAATTATAAATGATTAATTACCAATTTTACAGCATCTATCTTGCTTGCCAGAAGAAAATCCTGAGACTGCCTCTTGCTGTGCTTTATAAATGTGACATCTTCACCAAATCGCTTACGCAAATATTTGGTGACAAGTTGCCTTTGAACAGGGCTACGTCGAAGGCGGTCACAGATCTCTTTTCAAATCTCTGATACAGAGAAGGCTTTTCCTGTATTCAAGTCTTGTTGAATTTCATTGATGACATCATTAAATACATCATACATATTTGATTTATCATGAAGAGAATTTGAATCAGTACTTTTCTGGTATTTATGGCTGTATTGTTTGTAACAATAGTTATGGTATAAGAGATCAGCTTCAATCACTCCTTTCACATCAGTGAGGTGACAGGTGCTGGTATACACTTCATCCTGTAAGTGTTGGGTTTGTACAAGAAACTCGGTAGCTTTCTTCTCTTCATAAATTTGGGATTTTTCATATGTTTTGTTTTTTGTGACCTGATTACAATATATACAAACATTCTGGTATTTAGGTACATCAACAGCTTCAACAGAGGGCCTTTGTGGTAGGGAACATTTCATTTGTTTGGGTTGTGCTGTTGACGAATGAGGTGTATTTCCAACCATTCCTTCAATGGTTTCTTCAGTATCAGTTTCAGTTTCTTCAGTTTCTTCATTCCTTTGTGGAAGGGAACATTTCATTTGTTTGGGTTGTTCTGTTGAGGAATGAGGTGTGTTTCCAACCATTCCTTCAATGGTTTTTTCAGTATCAGTTTCAGTTTCTTCATTCCTTTGCGGAAGGGAACATTTCATTTGTTTGGGTTGTGCTGTTGAGGAATGAGGTGTGTTTCCAACCATTCCTTCAATGGTTTCTACAGTATGCCGTTTTTGGGTCTATACTCTGTAGCAAGCATTGTTCATGTGATATAGAATAGGTGCGTTTTCAAGTTTGGCTAATTTCATACGTTGATAAACTTCATCATCTTTCATTTTGCTTATTCTAAGCAAGGTTGCAACACCTCTTGCTTGTCCAACAGTTGGCTTGACAAAATTGCTGTTACTGTCTTTAAAATCATCTTGGCAGATAATACATTTTCCTCTTTCAAAGTTTATAGAAGCCATTTAGGAAGTTAACTGGAGAAGAAATAGATTGTTAGTGATTTTAAAATATTCAATCTCTGGGTCTCAAAAATACAGTCACAATTCAGGATCATGCATAGTTTATCATGTAACTGAGTTCATTTTAGTTATTAACGTTAATTCGTTAATCCATATGCAAGGAAATTTGAAAAGCTGGATGTGATCATATGTTTTATTTTCCTAGACACCAACTTACATTCTATATTAGAAATAATTTGAATCATTCTAAGTGATCATAATTTTAATTCTTCTATTTTGTCGAAGATGAGCAATCTTTATATCTTAAATAAACCTTAAGCTTACTTACTTTAATCACATTTTAATAATTTTGTTTCCACCAACTCAATACATGTTCATCTGTAGTCTCAAATATATACTAAATACAAAAACAGAGGTTAGTCAATAAGTCAATTATAGAGGATTACTGTTTTAAACAACCTTCATGCTAATAAGATGTAAATTACCCCAAAATTAGCTGCCATGGCATTTAACAGGAGTTTCAGTTTTGAGTTTGATATTAACTTATGATGGTATAAATATAATATAAAATTAGATCTAACTCCATTTGGGTGGGATAGATTGAAGGATCATTTTTTATTTGAAAAGTGTAGATACATCTTTTGAGAAGCTCTAATTTTATACAAAATGTTTCTGGCAAAAATTACCTGTAAAATAAAATATAATTTATTCTAAAAGTGCACACTTATGGAAATGATATGATTAATAGATGTTATACTCTATTAATACAAAGAAACTCAGGAAAAGCTTTTCATACATTCATTAAGTACCGTGTTGTATTTCCAGAAGTTGAGTCTTTGATATAATAAGGGGTGTATATCAAACACAGAATAATTAAATAATAATAATGGGCCAAAACCAAAATTCAGCCCTACAATTACTTCATTCATATTCTCAAAAATCAAAATGTATTTGTTTGTACTTGTTACATCATATAAGGATTACCTTAGAAATAAAAAAAGCATATGTATTTGGTAATATGTAAAAACTGATATTTTGTCAAATTTCTTCCACTTTTACAAAAAAAAATTTTCTAAAGTTCCCATGTCCCACATATATTAATTTGATACTGCATCATATGTCCCCTTTATGGTTCTAATTATTACACCAATAATAACAATTTTATCTACCATAACAGCCTCAGAATAATAAACTTTATAAGGTAGACCCTTGATTATAGGTGGCGCTTCTGTATATTTGAGGCAAAATGACCCATCAAATGACCTTCCAGGATCACCTAAAAATTCAAATGCATAGTTTAGGAAGTAGTCTCTAAGGAAAAAGCAAAAAAATAAATATGAAATTAGGTTTGGCTGAAAAAAAAATTAATTAAGATTATCACCCTGCAACTTTAAAATCACTAGATGGCGCCACTATAACCTGCCATAAAAATTGATTTTACCCAAACCTGGAAAAATAACTTATGGATTCCTACACTTCAGGGTATCTACTAAAAGAAAATCAAAAGTTATTTCATTCTAAATCCGAGTAAGCTCAGAGAGGCTAGGGACAGGACTAATATAAAGATATCAACTAGAAACTGTCATTTTGAAAAATAAAGTTTCCAAGACAGCCATCAAATAAACCCTAATTAACAACATCAATGGTATTGGGAAAAATGCATTAAATCTCCCATACATATTCTTCAAATTTACTGAAATCACTCTTTAAAAATCATAATACATCATGAAGGACAATAAACATTTTATCTCTTGGTGAATATCTGGTATTTTCTCTTATATCTGTACCTGTAATGTTAAAGATAGATGTTGAGTGGCCATTTTGAATTAGAGTAGATTTATGACAAATTTTAATCTAATAATTTTAACTACTACTATAATTTTAACTTCTATCACAGATCCAAATATTGCATAAAAATGGGTCCAACCAATAGCAATGTCTTCTTTGACTGAAATTATTTTTTATGAAAAATTATAAAGCACTTTTGACGCATATTGAATTTGCTTTACCTGCTGAGGTCAGAGTTGATGTCACTGAGCAGACGTAGGATATCTGCGGGAATGTTGACATTGGATGACTTCTTACTGTCTGTGTGCACTGTCGTCTTCTGAGCAAGGTTCATGTGGTTAAAATAAATATATTTAAATTGCACTTCTCCCGTACTGAAATGAAAAATTCATGAGGATTTTTCTTTATTCCATAATACGATGCAATTTTTATTTTAAACAAGAAATCTTATACTAATTCATCTATAATTAAAAACTTACAGTTTATTAAATGAGGTTAGTGGATGTATTAAAGAGTTCTTATTTCAAAACAGACAACTTATCAGATTGAGTTACAGATAGATGGCATAACTGTTTTTATTCAGGCTGAATAGTATAATATGGCAGGGAATACGAAAAGTCACTTAATTCTCAATTATCTTTTTCTATTTCTACCTGCTCACCTAGGAGTTGACCTTTTGACATATTGTTCACTGATATCTGAGGCTAAAACACTCAGCTTTGGACCCACTAGGCCATCTATACTCCGGTAGAAGTCAAACTGAAGAGGATAACTAGCTGAAAAAAAAATCCTTGATATGAAAACTAAATGTTCATCACCAAAGCTTGTTGCAAATGATTACTATAGTGACTACACAATTTAGCTTATTCATAGATTCATCAGACATTTTCCATTGAAGTGCTTTTAGAATAGTCATCCATGTATATACATGTATAGTCAATTTTATTACATTTGTTACATTTATTCCTTAAATAATGCAATATTACATAATATTCATATCGATCAATTTAAAGGAAAATGAAGGTCACATCAAGTTAGTATTAATATAGGATGTAATTATTCATTAATGCAATGAAGCATTTATTGGCATCTGCATTAGTCCTTTAAATAAAGATTACGCTTTAATAGGCATACTGTGTAGTAATGGGTCAACAAATCGTAATAAAGTTGTCATATATGTACGTACCATCTACAAGAAGACAGACTGTAGCACTAAGTGCTCTGTACACCACTAGATGGCACTCCTCACATGTAGATTCTGTGTTTATGTAGACTCGGGGCACTTTCCCAAGATTGCTACTGTCAGACATATTAGGTGGACCATTTATATATCTGCAAAAAGTACTCATGTATAGTATAGTATTGTGAAGTGATTTGTTTCGACAAGAATCTTTTGCTCAAAATGTAGATCTTTAAAATAATCCATAGTCATTTTCTAGTGTTTCTTGAAACATAAAATAAATATAAATAAGATTCAGTCTGCCATCACTTTGCACCCATGTTTACTTGCCATAGCGAATTGTAGCAAAATAACTTCCTTTTATAGCTATTAGTAAAAGGATCATCCTATATAAATAACTCAGAGACCCATTTTAACCCCCATGGACCCAAAAGTTATATAAACATGGCTACTGAACTATCCCATAGTTCCTGGATCAAGACCAGACACGAACCCCTTGGACCAATCTAACCCCCTGGACCCATGCTGAAATGTCAAATAGAAGCATAGCTACTGACTATCCAATAGTCCCCGGACCAAGACCAGGCATGAATACCCTGGACCAATCTAATCCCTGGGACCAATACATACCTGCCATAGTGAAGCGTCGCTACAGAGCTACCTCTCCTGTCGTTATTGGCAACTGGACTGCCCTGTAGTTCTTGCTCTAGGAAAGGAGGGAATAAACTTGTTGTTAGATACTTGTACATTGTCCTCATATCATCTTGTTCAAGCCCACTCCTGGAAATGTAAAATTACGGTAACTACATATTTTGCTCACATACTGTATTTTCTGGAACATTTACAAATTCTATATCATTAAAAATGTAATAAAGCATCTAAAATTTAAAGATTTCTCATCACCTCAGAAATGACCTTGAAACCCAGTGTGACAAGAAAATCCGTCACAAAATTTTCACTAAAATTCACTTTTTGTCTTCTAAACTGACAACTCCCATTCATAGACTTAAACATGGGTTTCTCTAAAACGCCTATAGTTTTATGATGTCAAAATGAGTTTTGGTAATACATAATAAATGCTCACCAGACTAACTGATCATTGTAGAGGAAAGCTGTGTACTTAATCTGAGAAAATGTTGCCTCCAGTAGGTTTGTGAAAGACTGTATACGAAGGTATGTATGTTTGTCTAGTGGCAGAAAGTGAATGCCATTAAAAACATCCAGGATATCACTATTGTCAAGTTTCAGTGTGGGAAGATACTGAAATAAAAACATCCATGATAGCACTGTTGTCACTTTTTAGTGTGGGAAGATACTGAAATAAATACATCCAGGATACCACTGTTGTCGATGTTTCAGTGTAATCAGTGTAACATTGTCGAGCTCCAAATAATAAAGGAATTAAATAAAATGGAATTCATATTGATTTTGAATGTTCAAATAAAAGTTACCATTTTACTATTACTTTGTATATAAGTACCAGTTCACAAAAATAATGTGTACTTTCATTTCGCTACCTCACAGTTAGATAGATAATGTCTCTTACCTGACACTATAAGATAAATAATTGAATTAGAAATTGTACTAATTAAGATATTTGCACAAATACTATGAAGTGGAATATTTTCCCAAAACACTCACCCTGTAATAGAAGTGCTCTAATCTTTGTATCAAACTCTGAACATTTCCTCTGTCCATAATATCTGAGAAGGGACCCATGAAAAACTGAAATGGAATGAATACAAGGCATTAACACATAAAATATCAGCACGTGCAAAAGGTTACAAAAGTGTTACAAACACTGATGCTCAACACCACCTGTCAATGTTAACGCCAGACATGATGGATCTAACACTAATTGAGCCTGGCCACAGGAAAACCGGTCTTATCACAAAAATGAAAATTGTGCTACAGAGCAAAAAATGTGCCCAAGATTAAGAGGAAAATGTGCTATATTCAAATCCGACTTTTTGGTCTATATATGCAGGAAAAATTGTTAAGACATAAGCCATGGCTCATTTGAAAGGTCTCTTTGTGCTTTTTAAGATGAACAAAAAATCAGAATATTGAATAAATCTGTGATAAGACCCATTTCCTGTGGCCTGGCTCAATTAATGATGATGATGCAAAAATTTTACCCAAATTATATTTGATGCCTTCATATATGTCACGTTTTTGTGATTATGAAATTTCGCAGCTATTATATTTTGCAGATTTTTACTTTTTTGATATTTTGTGGCTATTAATTTTCATGGATTTCTGTTTAAAAGGACATGTCTCGTTTTGGAGAACAGTCTCCTGGGCTAATAATTTTTTTATGAAAAATATAGAAATATCACCCAAATTAAATTATGAATATTCAAAAGAGGACAATTTGAAAAATCTACAATATGTAATAATATCAAAATTGTCCAAAGCAGGCGCAATGTGCAGTAGACTGATAAACTTTATTCTCCAAACCGAGACTAGTCTTTTGCCTGCTTCTTTTCAAAGATAGTGATTCCTTAAAAAAATCCACAGACCAAATGACCATGCTTTTCCCTTCACCCAAAGATTTTGACTTCACCTTGAGTCATTTTATGTTCATTTTGATTACGATCTTTCAGAACAAGAAATTTGAGAAAAAATGAATTTTCCAAAATTGCAAAAAGCGAAAAATATACACAGATAGTAGAAACCATGGGCATTCGGAACAAGCACAGAATTCTGGTTTCTATCAAAACTTTTATCGTACCCTGAACATCTTATATGCTTGTTTTAACACAGCTTGAAAGACAGAATCTTGGACGTCATCTTCATGATACTCTATATATGGTACACCATCTTTAGTTTTGTGGGATATTGGTATTGTTACTGTCTGGAAAAAAAGATGAAGTAACTTTAGCAAACTCATCACCTTGTTATTCAGGTATATTTCATATAAATAAACATTTTGAAGAGTGGTAATGAGGTGAAACACAATACAATGGCTATTTTATCAAATACTATAGAATCGCATAATTACCATTACGATCCAAAAGTTTTTCTCCGCCTGATAGAAGACTTGACGTCTTTTCTGCGTATGCATCACCTCACATGGTGCATCAGTAAATGTACTGAAAATTTTGCAAACACATTTATACACAAAAACAAACTTTCAGAATTTAAATATTCATTAATTTATTTTGAGCTATTTGGACTCGTTTCACCATTCCACTAAAAAGTTATCTAAGAATTTTAATAGGGGGAATTTGGAATGGAGTTTGCATCATAAAAAAGCTGAGTGTTGTTTATGATATCTATTTAACCTCTTCAATCACAGGCTCTAAAATCAGTTGGAAGCAAAGAATTTTTTATTTTTGCCACATTTTGACATTTTACTACATACATATACAATTTGAGATTCTCAGCTTTGTAAAATTAGACGGCAGAGTTCATTTCTACACATTTTGAAACAATTTTTGTGTAAATTGGAAGGAAATTATTCAAATAAAGAGCAATTTTACTGAAAATTTTTGTGACATATTTTCTCATCACTCTGGATTTCAAGGTCATTTCTGGGGTGACGAGGTAGGTCGTCACTCAAGGTAGTCAAGAGGTTAATAGAAAGAGATAACTCACCTAGTGAAGTTGACAATAGCTTCACATAGTCCAATATTTTTAATCTTGGTATCAATATCAACATCTGTGGGGTAATACAGTAAGATTTTCTTGTGTTCCTGAAATCAAAATGTTTCAGTGTATAACCATAGGAAGGGCCATTGTTGTATTTTAGCATGGATAAATAGATGGCAGCATGTGTGTTGGTAGGGCCAGAATACATGGAAACCTATGGCAAGAGTCATTTAATTTTTTGATTTATCAAGTATTTCAATTTGGATTAACATTAAACACCATGTAAAATCCAACTAATAGGATCTTGGTGACATGTTGATTGGCATTTCACATTAATATTGTGATCCTAGTTAGAGTAAATGAACTTTTATAGGTTTTTTAACATTGTGTGAATGGCAATGTCAATTCATAACACACAAGAAGTGATTAGGATATTAGTTAAAATGTTTTGGACATCAATTAGGTGGCATTAAAGCACCACAAACAATTGGATATAAACAAACAAACAAACAAATATTGGATCACTGTTCATCAATTTAGAGTCAATTATAATATCAGAAAATAACAACATTTTCAATGTTGCCATCGATCAAGGTCAAGGTCGAATATCAAGTTGAGACCCTGGGAGCATAGTGAACATAAGTCCCACCCCCTTTATATTATATATAGATTATACCAAGGGCAGAAAGAAGTTTGAAAAAAGAAAAAATAGGGTATAAAATAACTTTTGTTTGCCTTGTTATGTTTACATGATTCTCCTGGCACGCTAAAACATAAAGATAACACTTCAAGGAAAAATATAATTGTTTCCCAGCTCAAACTAGCTTATTATCAGCCAGATAATGAACCAATTTGGAGAATTTAAAATTGATCCATGCTCCGCCTGTCGTGAGTGAATATACAGATCGTTGGGCTTTCAATTTTCTAGTTCAAAGCCCATGACAGATCTAAAGGATGTCATACAAATTCAAATGCTGCCATTTGGAATATTTTTCCCGCTTCAGATTTTGAATCACCAGATTTGGTTTTATTCCATAAAAAAAATTTAAAACATATAAGAGGTGATCACGATATTAGTATAAACCTTTCAACAGTGCTGATTATGAATTTATAGCCAGTTGAGCCCAGTTGTAATGCCAGTGAATAATGACTAGTATGTATCCAACAGACTGACTAGTCAGTCTGTTATGATGTACTACTTTCCTGTGGAAATTGCAGTGAAATTTTTTGCACAAAATTATCAATTGGAGGAACAATTTCTTCAATAAAATAAACATTACAAAATTTCAATTAAATAGCAAGGTACAATTAAATGCAATAAAAAGTAACACAGCATATTGTCAAGTGGAAATAAAGCTAGTTCTAGTTGAAGTAACAAATGTGAAAATTAATTTTACCCAATCGGCCATTTTGAATAGCACTTCCTATGTAAACAAATATTTAGAATTACCAAACTTTAACATAGGTGCCTTATAGTCTGAATATAATTCAGACTAAATAGGATATACAGTGGGGATCATAAAGAATTGCAAAAGCTATGAAAATTACATGCTGTCGCACATGTAATAAATTCTTACCTCAGTGTATTCAGTGCTCTATTTTCTCCGTCTTAGTAAGTCCAAATATAGTGGAATTTGTGTCCCTAATGACAAATAAGAACTTCAAAAGTTGAATTGGATATTCACATGTTATGCCGACTCTTCAAATTTTGAGGTGATTTTGTCGCCCGATTGCGCCGGAACGGAGGATTGGCTCCCAGAATGCAACATGACACGTGCCAGCTTTCAAAATGCTGTTCCGTCATTTTGAAACCTGTCATGAGTAAATACGGTTAACTGATGTTGCATTCTGGGAGTCAACCGTCCTTGGATAACAAACATGGCGATTCATGAAAACATTCATTCGATTTGGTAGGGATTTATCTTACTCGAGTCTCTAGCTTACAGCTAGACGAAACTTCATTGATTTCGTATGTACTGTGCTACACGCACCTACACGCACCTAGAACTCATTTTTAATAAATTTTATAAATATTTTTAAGAATATTAATCATATTTAGGATGAAGCGTTGCTTGTCTGGATTTAGATATTTCAAAATTTCATTTCGGAGTTTGAAACATGATGAAATTTTCTCGCTGTAGCTAAAAATGGCTTCCGGTTCTGGACGTGAATAAAATCTGAAATTATTCTCGCTTAAAGAAATCAAATATAACAATAGATTCAGACGGGGATGTGAGCTGATGTTCTTCAAATCTATACATAAAGGTATATTTCATATTATTATGCCATATTTACTGTGCGTGTGACACAATGATTTACAATATTTATAATACTAAGGCAGCTCAATCTTCCTCCTCAAAGCCGGAATATAGAGAAGGCTTTGGACCGAAGTAAGATTTATCTATTATTTGCAGGTATGAAGCTTTGGATTCATTTATTGTGCTACTGTAGTGAACGGGAATTATTTTTCTACCGCTTGGGAGAGTTTGAGACACGAAACTTGGAAATAAGCTCATTGTGACAACTTGTGAACGTTGAGTTTTATTTTTGTCCCCCACTGTAGTCTAGAATAATGACATCTCAGGGGGAGGGCATTTTTTCTGATTCAAGATGCCTAACCTGGAGTATTCTACAGATTATATGGAGAACTTCCCATTATCTGTGCCTGGGAGCCAATCCTCCTTGGTCAATCTATTAGACTAGGCTATCCTGTAAAATTTTGACTCAACAAATATTTCAAAAAGTGTAAGTGCCTTTACCTCTCCTTCCCTGGGCCCTAGGGTTGGGTTGAAGATGAAAAAGTTTGCAAGTGATACTGGTGATTTCGTTGAAGTCATAATGAATTACACAATCCCTTTCATTCTGTTTTAAAATAAGACATTTCATGGAATTCTAGACTTTTTGTTTTTCTGGGGGCTGCCATTTTACTTCTCGCGAGATTTCACGAGAGTTTCAGTTTCACTGATTAGGAACCTGTTATTTTGAAAATATAATCTAATATTATAAACACATCACTGAAATATGATAAAACAAAGAGAAATATATATAAGAAAATACAATGTATCCGTCAATGTTAATTGTTAAAGCATAGTCTGACTTCAAGTCTGGACATATGTTATATTTCACCTTTTACTATTTCAGGTATAATTGCCCATTATGAAACCAATATAGAGACTATATAGATATCATGGGCTTTCAACTAGATTGAAAGCCCATGATAATATCTAGGATGAAGAAATTACTTCATCCTAAATAAATTAATATTAACAATAAGTATTTCTAGATTTAATTTTTTGTTCTTATAAGTTGCTGTATAAATATATAAGTAGACTGGAGAGAGAATAAGTTATCAATTAGTCTCAACTATTGTTCTCAGTTCTGTCGTCCTATGAATGTATTGGATTCATAAATATTTTTATTTTCACAATATCATAATTGCAATCTGAAATGAATAATGGTGTGCTATACATGTAGTTGATCATTATTACCAGAGAAATTTTGCGGCCTATGGTATCCTCGGAATCTGAGATATAGCCAGTCACGTGTTATCCTCATTTGTTGTAGTGTGTTTAAAAAATGATGTGAGATATAGTTAAACTGTTACAGTGATGCAATCTGCGTTGTCCTTGCTGTTTCAAAAATGAGGATAATAAGTGCATATTTTTGTTTATTGTAAAACACTATATGACACAAGACAGTCTAGGAATTACTTTGTATAGCTCACTTTTTTAAAATAAGTTTCATGTTAATTTAAACAGTTGAATACAATCTATCTACTCTTGTCTTCATGTCAAAGGTCATGATTTACTGACAATTTATATGTTTATTCTGGCAGCTGTCTTCAAAGAGCACAAAAATAATTTGATATAAAATACAATTCATAATCAATACAATACAATAATCTCTTGGATCACCTTTTTAGAATGTAAGTTTAGTTTACACAATAGATGGCGGCAAATCATTGAATCTAAATATATTTTTTATAGATGGCAGTATGTCCAATGCTCCAATAGTTAAAACATTTAAACAGTGAATTCCATTCTTCCATCATATGAATCATATGGCAATTATATAATCTTATAGTCATTACTCCATTTGAGACTACATGCATGATTATGGAAAAAGAAATAAAATAAACATGATTGATATATGATAAGTGAGGAAAGCATGTAAATAAAGTATATTGTTATTTGAATGTAAGTGGCTCACTTCATTGATTGTCTTTACTTCATGTTCATGTTTTCATATACTCGGTATGATTTTAATCTTATTTATTTATTATGATAATCTTAACTATTTGAAGCCATTTGCACTATTTAGACTATCACTGTATTATAGTCTTACTGTTGCTTTGATCCTATCAATAAACCATTTTGTTATCTCTAATTTCACATTTGACTTGTTTTGAATTCCTATATTACAATTCCTGCAATAATTTGCCATCGGGTATAAGCACGGACCTCAAGAAAAAAGTCAACAGTATTAGAGATTTTTATGTCATAAATACAAAGGCATATGATCATATTCTAAATGATTCCTTTTAAATCAGAACCTTACAATGAAGTGAACACTGGCCTTTGGTTCGCTCTAACCTCACTGGTCACTCTGTTTATAGAACCCAGCCAGGAGGTTGGATTCCACTATCACTGTAGATTAGACCAGTCGGTGATTGGTGCGGAACATCAAAGAGAAGTGACGTCACCAAGTGCGGCAGGCATGTGGCTTTGATCTTCGAGTTCAAACTTTTCAAATTTCATCGCCATTTTGAGCAGGCCACTTTAGGATTTAATTCTGTTAGAGATGATTTCATTTCGGTAAGTGTAATTTGAATATATTCTTCGTATTTGAGAGCAGATCGAAGGCTGTTGAGACCGCTAAATGTAACACTAAATTCGATTCAAATATCGGCGAGAGAAAGTTGATTTTCAGCCCACGAATTTTTGATCGAAAGAATGGCTTTGTTTATCAGTTCAAAATGTAAAGAATTGGTCGTAGTTCGGTCATCATTTAGTTGATAAGGGTTGCCAAAATTATGCTGAACGTTAGAGATGTGTATGGGAGACAATAGATAGGAAAGTGAAAGATCAGATTTCCATGTGCATGAAAAAACTGGGTCAACTCTTCTAAAATTCCCCAAATTTTATGTATTATTTGCCTTGCTTTTCTGGCCGGTTCGTAAGTGGTACAAATGCAATCACAAAGAACACATAACCATCCACGTACATCACCAGTTTAATTGTCAATTTGGTTGAATATTGTTATAGATCTTAGTATTTTTAATATTGGTACAAGAAGTGAAATGTAAAAGGTCAAATTGCAGAGGCTTTCAGAGGTGTTTTCACATTTTGTGTTTTTAAATCTTATTCCACCACATTTTGTAGGTATATTCTATATCATCATTGTATGCTTATTTTGGTATTGTTATAAAAGTTTGTGATGTACTTCATATTAAAACAAACACACGGTGAAAATGGAATATCATCTATATTATTTCCTGTATTGATTTTGGAATTCCCTATGTGAGCCTCTCTATTTGCATAAATAAATGGCGGGCCTCATTTGTCAAGGTACATTTTGATAGATGTGTATATAACAAAGATCAGGCCGTGCCTGGCCCATTATACATTTATTTATGGATTTTATGGCTTTATGGGCTATAGCAGCTTGAAAGAAATGTAAATGAGAGCTATGAATGGCTTTGATACTGAGCAATAAAGGTTTGAACAAGAATTAATTGAAAACACAGTCCAATTTTTGACATGCATTTTTTGCTCATTTTCAAAAACGTTAATTCAGAGTACATATTCACTGTATACCTATTGGTGAACCTATTAGATAAACCCGTTCGTAAACCCCTTATCATAAATTAAGTTTTATAATGTTATTTTGTTTATTTTCAGAAAATGAGTGTTGAGGTCCACCAATTTCTCAATGACTCCGTAGGTGGTAACTTTACAGAATCAGCACCACGTCCTCCAGTACCTGGGGAGGAAAATGAACTAACCTCAAATGGCGGACATTCTACCAGAAGCAGTGGCTCACACAAGAGTCATGCTTCGAATAAGAGTCACTCCTCTATTAAGAGTATAGGATCACATCGGAGTGATGTTAGTCACTCCCCTGCTGCAACACCCCGCCGATCAAACCTTGACGGGAAAAACAAAGCATTAGCTTTACAGTCTCAGGGATTAAGTCAGGAAGACATGATCGCCCCTCTGGGCTTTGAACCCGAGGGAAGTGCAACTAACTCACCTCCTTTTACAGAGAATAGTACCCCACCTTATTTAAAATGGGCAGAAAGCCTCAAGTTTTTATTAGAAGATTCAGATGGTCTTCAATTATATAAGGAATTCCTGTCACTTGAGCAATGTTACTGTCCTGTGACTCTCGACTTTTGGTTTGCATGCAAAGGCTTAAGACAAAGTCTTTTGAAATTTACAAAATCACAAAGTAATGATGCAAAAGAAAGAGCCAAAATATTCAACCTGGCTAAGGTGATATACAGGAAGTACATTAGAGGGGATCAACTTAGTAGCATTATAAGTAAGTCAATTCGCCAAACAATTTCTGAAAGAGTGACTAAAAAAGATATTGAATTGACTTTATTCGATGAGGCTCAGGATTCTGTAGAAAAATATATGACGGATAACACATGGCCAATATTTCTGAAATCCGACATTTATGTGCAATATATACAAGCAGGGGGAGAGAGTCCAAAAACTGGGAGTAATGGATCTAGTGGCTCTAGCAGTGCCCGGCCACTCTCCCAAGTAGGCCCCCTCCCCACACTGCATGAGAATGAGGAATTACAGACTGATGATATTGATTCAAGCCAACCTATTCATCAACCTATGACACCAGTTGCAGTAGCCCCCTTGACGTCAAAGTCTTTAATGGCGACAACAGCTTCTCGAGCTGAAGCCAGTTTCTTCAAGAGACCTGAAGCAACTGCTGGGTATGTGTACTTTGTGTTTTTCACACTGTGTATTGTAGTAATGTAGTTAGGATATGTTGCAGTCTTGTGCGTGTAATGGCCTGGACACCTAAAATGGTCATTCTTTCTGTTGAATTTTTGTTTCTTGCAAGTAAACATCTTGATTTTAAACTTTATGGAAGGTTTATTAGGTCATTCATAAGATATCATTTCCTTCCAGGTTCTAAAAAGTTTCGATTCCACCATGAAAATATGAACTCGTTCACAGCACGTAGTTGTTCTCATCTTTTGCAAAGAATCTACATATAAGATTGGCAAAGTGAAAACAAACGTGCCTGCTAGTGTAAAAGAAGCTTGCTGCATCTCAATATAGCCTTTATTTTCTACCTATACCACATTTTACCTTAGTGCTATCTCCTAGAACCTGCTGGTAGTTAGTACTAAGCGAGATAACTTTATCCAAGCGGATGTTGCCTGAGTATTACAAAGTTAGAAATAACTTTGATCGATCCTCTGTCAGGATGTTACAAAATAGGCCCTAGTGCTTAAATTGTGTATCATTTCCATTTTTTGAAATTATTTTTCCTCATTTTATTCTTGAGGGAGAGTAATTAGAGAGGACCAATTTGTCATTGTCTTAACCGATAGTAATAATATTTGAAGTAAATTGATTCTTTCAACTTTGGTTATTGTAATTTCAATTCCATTGGGTGTGTTATTTGCTTTGAAATTTTTGATGTTTTCTCTAAAGAAAGATTTAGGCTTCTTGTAGAATTGTTAACTATTATTGATTGCTTTATTATTACCAAATTCTTGTTGAGATTTTTCAAGTACAATCAAAATATACCGTTGAAATACTTTGTTGAAATCCATATATTGGATTTACTTTTCTACTTGAGACCATCATAAGCCTGATGACTTTGAACCTCTCAAGAAAGAAGCCTATATTGTATTTTAACTGTACCTCTTCATTATGGGCAATTGTTTCATAATACAAGTGTATTAAATTTAAACATTTTGTTCATATTTCAGTCTGTACCTTCAACAGTGTCAAGAGAGGAGTGCAACATCAAGTAGTAAGAACAGCTATCCATATCACGTGTCTTACACCACAGTCTCTGCCCAGGACAGTGAGCTTCAATCACTCTCTAGCGATGCTATGACTGATGATACCATGTCACTCACAGACAGCAGTGTGTAAGTTAACATTTATATAACATATTTGTGTTTGTGACATAAGGGACAACTTCCATGTCACTCAAGCCATGGAATTAGAATTTTGATCAAATGGACCAATGTCCAATATCCATTTCTGGGTCTTAATTTTAGAGGAACATTTTAGGCTGATATCACATTAGACAAGATGGTCCTCTTATATTCCAGCTTGTCAATATATCTTAAGAGACATTTTGTCATTTTTGTATTTCATGAGATGGGACCAGAGGGAACACATCCCATCTTGTTGAGACAAGTATGAATTATGAGTGGATTCCAGGATGGACACAGTCCATTAGGCATCTTATGATATAATTGTATGCTACATCTTTGGTCTTATAGAATGATTAATAATGTTCAAGTGTTTGACCTTGCTTATCAACATAAAGCTACATACTTAACTACCACTCTACATAATATTTGATATAAATGATCTAAAGGGCAGAAGGCAAGGAGGTGAGGGGCCTTTGCCAAAAGCCAACAAATACAAAGATCAACATTTAATTATCGAATTGAGAATCTAAATGTTAAAGTCAGTGACTCAATGTTCAAACAGCCTTTAAATATTTAATCCCTGGTGTATTTATTTACCAAAAACCTTGCCAACACTAATAGTCCATATTTTGAATTTATGTGTATTGTTGATTCTTTATAGATTACTATTCGCATTTTGTATGAATTCATCTTTTTCTTTAAAATCAAGTAACCAGTTAAACTATGGATAATAGAATTTTGGCTGACTAAGAGTTAAACTAGACTACAAACTATACTTTACTATGAAACTAGTGAAAAGTTTTACTGGACCAACCCGCTAAAACCTCTTCAGAATGATTTTGTTTTCTTCTGGACACCCTATCAAATGTTGAATTTTTCTTTATACTGGTATTGTAGAAAAACATGTTGAATGACTTTGAATCCTAGTTGAGATTTACATTGGGTATAGGTATTAAGATTGATATGCTTATGTTCACTTCTAGTATTACAAAGCACATGTTTAGTACCTCATGTCAATAAAGGATTTTACTTTGATGTTTTAATATTTCTGCTTGTTTTACACTCAAGTATGCATAGGACTGTGGTTTAAAACTGGGCAAGGGAAAGTGTCGTGTGGCTATATCAGCATGCTGTGTATGCACACTTAGTTGGTGGACCATCAAGTCTACTTCAAATTTCACTTGGATTTGGCCAACTCAGATGTATGTAGTGTTCAGTACATACTAACTCATGACATTTGACCTTTTTCACATAAAGATAGTTGTACAAATAGAACAGTTTTAACTTGCCTGTGGTAAAACAGTAGATATTCCAAATGAGATGGAGATAGGCTAGATATGTAAAGGTAGACCAAGCCCCAAGCTGTAAAACTCTTGTGTTGTTTGTCTAAAGTCAGTTTTTGCACTAGAGGTGAACAGTAATAGATGGGAACCACCTGAAACTGTAGTTTTGCCTGAGATTTAAAAGCGGCCGTTTACTCAGCATCAATGCATAGTGTACGTGGGATTGTTATAGGTAATACTAGTACTAGATAAGCCATTATTGATCCTCCAACATATCGATATAAGGCCAGCCAGTCCGGCTATGCAAAAATATGTAAAATGTACTTGATGACCCTAAAAGGAAGGATATCGGCAAGATAAATAAAAGATCAGTATCATAATATACATTAACGTTGAATAGTGGTTTACCATATTTACAGTTCATCTAAAATTAGAGTCGTTGAAAGAGAAATGATGATAGGTCATGATTACAGAGAAAAATCTTAATCTGTTTCCTGGGTGTGTCGTACTAAAACCTTTCCGATGTTTCTTGGTTCAAACATGAGCCCCCATTTGCTTTCAGTAACATTGGTTTGGTTTTCTTCAGATCATAGACTTCCCCATTAAAGTTACTCCCAAGATAAAGGTATCTGATGTGCCAACAATCTCATAGGTTTTGATTGGGTAGAGATTGGGGTTAATAGTAAAACTTTTTGCGAGGTTAATGAGACACAGCTATCTTAAAAATTACTGATTTTCAAGGCACGAATCGAACTTGTTCATCTAAAAAATCAGATAATTACTCATTTATAAAAAACATCAAATAACTCAAGATGTTTTAAATTGAACCAACACAAACCATAGCTTGGTACACTGTTTGTTGTAATTTATTTGTTATACAGCATTATTGAATGAGAATTATTTAATCAGTTTTTTATTCAGTATTTGCACATCATGTGATCCGAGGGTTGTTTGTTTCAAAGGTGTATAGATTGCCACTTGTTCTGCAGTTGAAAGTAAAAAGGGACAGGGCCTATTCCCCTGTGATGTTTAAGTGAATAAATAATGCATTTCACTTGAATCCAGCAAAAGCTCTTTGTAGAGAAGAGCTTTGATGGCGCTCCATTGATGTTGTTGTTAAATGGTGTGGTGGTTGAGGGTTATCAATAGATACATCCCATCCACTTTCATCTAGCCATCCAGTTAGTCTGATTCTGTTAGCTAGCAGTTGAAAGGCAACCTTGTAACTTGATACATAACTGAAGTTTTCTAATTAACACATTTCAAAGACTAGTGATTGGTTATAATAGAAGAGTAAAGACACCATATCTCCCTTGATGTTCTGATTATAACTTTGTACAACTGTCTGAAGTGAGACGAGAGCTTTGAGGAACCATCTAATACTCACTGAGGAACTATCAAATAATTATTGTCTATCATATCACTCGCTGGAGTCTTTGTTGCCATCAACGATGTATCAGTAAACAAAGATCTGTATGTACCATTTGAAAGTCAAGCAATCAGTACTGAGGGTCATCTTTATCTTATTGAGGATCTGATGATCTTATACATGTTCTCTTTTAATGTATATTCCCAATCTTAACAACATTGATTTTTTAAGATCTAGAAGTTAAAAGTACCCTGTATGTCATGAGGATGGTTTTGCAATAGCCACAGTGATAAACTTGATCACTCTATAATGCAGTGCGTGAAATAAGGATTTTTTTAACCTAGACATTTTGGCAGGCCAGCCAGATTTTAACCAGCCATATCATTTTTTCTCAGGCCAATTTTTTGCAGCCTGTTTCTTACTTCTCTGGCCAAAAATTTCATTTTCCATATTTCTCCACAACCACTCTAAAATGAGATTTAGTTTAGTACAATATTAACAAAGTAAAACTAATTCCATTGCATGTCATGTATCATTCACTATACTGTACTTGATGACTTAACCAACAGCCTGAGTGTGTTGATTCCCCCCTAGATTCACCTTACAAAAACATGAGGAACATGTACATATTGATCAAACTAAATTGTACTGATTTTGGTCGGTTTAGAATTGCTCTCAGAAGCTTCAAGGTATTCAAAAACACATACTATGTACACAGACTCCACTAACAGACTAAAATTCAAGGTATATATTAGAGGTGTCACGGTCCAAATAAATTTCGGTACGGTACGGAACGGTACAAATGGTCTCGGGACACGATACTTTCGAGACAGGACGGGACAGAACATTAAAAATGATACAATGTCTGATGATGACAGTTTCACTTTCAGTTTCACTTTTCAAAATCATATTCAGAAATACGTCAATTAAAATCGAATATAAAGCATCTGCCGTGAATGTGATCGGCATTTCACATAGTCTGCATGGTGAACTATCACCAATTCGTTTACCTTGTGATATCGGAGTCCCAAAATACTTCCAAACTGCCGACTTTTTGGACTTAGATGCCGGCTCGATTTTTCAATTTCTTTTCTACATCCGGCATACTGATAATGCACTCGATTTGCGAACGACGATGAAGAAATGAGTCATCCATAGCCAATCAAAATCACCGTAATTTCAACAAACAACAACAGCCAATCAAAAGTCACGTTATATCTTGGGCTTCAGTATGAAAACAAAAATATTTGAAATTTTTTTAAATCTTCAACAAAAGTCATGGAATAAGCCGAAATCGCGGGGAATTCGGAGGATTTCCGGACTGAAATGTGGGTTCTATTCATGGGCAATCTAACGAATGCCACAAATGTCTGGCAGGCCAAAATGTCTGGGTGTTTTTATCAAAACAAGCCATCTATAATTTTGTCAGGCCAATGGCCGATGTCGGACGTCTATTTCGCGCACTGTAATGAACGGTAATTTACGATATACAGAAAACAAGTCATGATGTGAATTATTGTCTTTGAATTATTTGAGATTCTTTTAGACTTGTGTCTTTGTGCATCAATATTACATTCATCATAATCAGTGGTAATAATCAAGATTGAAACCTTTCTGCTTAATGGCCCATCAATGAGTCATCAATAACCAGCCTCAGGGGATATCAAACAGCATCTAATGCTTCATGTTCACAAAGTCGAAAAAAAAATTTTGTCGGAAGAGATCAAATTCTAATCACTCAGTATATCCTGAGTTGTACTTGTCAGATTTTGATATGTCCTTTGTGATCTAAGACAATTTTTTATTATAGGAATTTCAGATTGAGAAGAATGAAACATAAAAAGGCGAAAATTCTTTTGTATATTGGGATGATTGATCTGTGTTGTTTTGAGGCCTTTGAAGTGCAGTTTTATTTCACAATTCAAGATTTAAACTGTTCTGGTCTCCCTAATGTGCTCACTTGAGCTGGTCTATTTCTCAGCTACACAGATAGCTCTGTTTAGTAAGAGGGGTGTAGAGATGGAATTGGCCTGGACTAACAAGGATGGTGCAAAAGTGTTGCAGAATACTGCACTACTCTTATCTTTACTTTGATGTTTCTTTGACTCAGACATTTCAAAGATCTACATGAACATGACAGTGAGCTGTTATTAGAAAACGAAAGGGAAGGCATATTTTGACAGTTTATCACAAAATGTCCAGTTTTATCCCTAAGTCACCTTGTCCATCAGTTGGTGCGTGCTGCATTGCATTTTTGCAAACATTCAAACTCATCCAATGTGGCTTGATCAGTTTAGCATTCAATCTTAATTTTGTCATTCCCAAAAGTGCATGCA